TAACAGGGAACGTAATTAGATTTCAAAGCCCTCTCTTGCACAGAAAATAATTATATATGGTGGCTTGGAAATAGGGCAGAACCCCATCCATGCAGAGCTGAGGAGAAAAGGCTGAGGAGACCAGAAAGATGCGAGTGCCCACGGCGTACTGCACCAGAGAATGGGCTGAAGGGAGAACTCCAAGGACCTCACAGCTTACAGAGCACTCTGGTCACACAGTGAAGCAACACACAGATGATACTGAAAAGGGGCTGAGCAAGAAGGAGTTAACCAGTTTCGGCATTTCAGCCAAGTGCAGTGCTGCTATGAACCGCTGATTTGGCAACTTTTGATATGGAGGATTACTTTTTTTGCTGTGCCTGTTCTCTGTAGCGGAGCTGTCCTGTGGTGCCCGGTGCGTACCCCCGGTCTGTCTCCTCACTCAGTACGGGAGCGCTCCCTGTGCACCGGGTGCCTGCCCGCACTCACACGGGTCCGTCCCGCCAGAGCCACTGGCCAGCCCTCCTTGGGTTACACTTCTGCCTCCTGACGGGATGGATTTCAGCACACCAGCCGAGCCAAGCGCACTCTGCCTTTCCCAGGGCGTCAAGCTCCTTTCGCAGGCTTTCAGTATAAGATATTTAAAAGTAGTCCTTGCCGCCTTCAAACAAACCCAGAGCGTTCTTTTTGTCGATGAATTTGAGATTGCTGTTCTCTGCCACGCTTCATCGGTCATACTAGAGCTGGCTCCGTTTACATCAGAGGCAGAGTTTCCTCCAGGCACTGCTCCTGCTCCCGGTGTGGAGGGCAAGGCGGGGGGTACAGGTGAAGAAGCCGTGCTGCGCTTCCAGCCCCAGAGGGAGCGGCTCAGGCGCCGTGCCTCGCTGCCTGGCCAGAGCTGGCCGGCACCAGCTGTCCCGCGGGGAAGCTGCGGGAGCCCGGGAGGAGCCCCAGGGGAGCCCAGAGGAGCAGCCCCGGAGCAGCCCGGGAGAAGCGAAGCCGTCTGGTGCCACCTCCCGGCTACGCCGCCCGCCAGCGGCCCGTCCGCACTCGGAGCTCCTCCCAGGGCTGGAAACTGATCTCGGTGCCATTATTCCTAGGCAGAAACTGGTAAAGTAATATTAGCGTTTCTCTAGTATCGTTTCCGCTCCTTCCCCCTTATACTTCTGAGTTGTGCCTTTTTTTATGCACGGAACTAAAGAAGCATAAAAACCTGTAGTGAAAGCTCTCATTTTCATTAAGCACGAAGAGTGCTTTACTATGAGGCTGCATTACTGGGCAATTACTTGTCACAATGCATCGCCAATAGCCATGGGTTAAGTGGGAGGAAAGAATTTAGTCTAATTTGGTGCTTTTCATGCAGCTAAAAACAGAGAGGTGAGCTGCTAACAGCTGAAGAACCACCGACAATACCTTCGGTTGAGGTAAATGCAGATTTGTATTTTTAAACAAACTCATTAATTCTTCTTTCTGGGCAGTGACCAGACTGTGTGGCAAGATGTGTAGATTGTGTAATTTTGTGTAGATGTGTACTTTGTACCAGCTGATGTAAAACCTACGCTCTTTCCCTTGGCAGATTTGGAGTATAGGCCCAAGTAACCACATGCAGAGAGCAGTAGCTTCATTTTAGCTGCAAAATAGCAATTCCCTTAGATCAGGTCTGTCTTTTTTGCAAATAGAGGCATCATTAAAACGTGCATATACGAAGCCACAGCCAAGGGCAACAGGACTATTTTCTGTCTGAGAAGAGAAGGGGGGCAGTGGGAGGTGTAGCAGCCAGCCCTGCTGAGGTCCCACCCGAGGCAGTGCGGCAGGCGCTGGTTTGCTCAAAGAGCAACTCAGCCCAGTGAGTCTTTGCTCCAAGGACGCTGTAGAGCAATGGGGGCAGCACAGGAAGGTGCTACCAAATAAATAAATAGGTTCTTTCCCAGCGTCCACCATACTTGATTGCGTTTGTTTTGTTTTGTTTTTTCTTTCTTCTCTGGCAAATAAAGCAAAGGGAAAAGACCACACCAGAAGATGAATTGCATTGTCTCGGCTAACTATTTCTGCTAAGCTTGAATAGGTTTGCAAAACAGACACGTAGAACTCAAGCAAGAAGGGCAAAATAATTAGAGTTGGAATGTGGGGCTTTTGTCCCTGCTGTAATTGTCCCTGGGCCAGATGAGAAACATTAGACATCCAACAGGTGATGTTTTCAGATGAAAGAACTGAACAGTTCCTCCTTTCTCTAAAGGCTACATACTTTTCCTATCTAATCAGTGATACAAAATGGGGAGGTGCTGACACAAGCAGGAATAGCTCATTACCTCATCAGTATGGCAGCAGCTGTCCCTTTAAAGTAAGCAATTAATTGTGAGTTTGGGAGGTTTTGTTTTGGTTTTTAATTCTGTCTGCAGTGCATGAACCTCCAGTCACCTTTAGGACTGTTCTAGTCTTATTTTACACCTATATTGAGGCTGAGCACAGTATTATTCGCTACTACTCTCTAACCAGCTCCACTGCTGCTCCTGCAAACAAATGTAAAGCAAGTAACTCCAGTTGCCAGCATTTTTTCATTCATTATAGGTGGCTTTAAGAACTTGAGGAAGCTGAATCACACATTACTCAGCTAAATGCGTGTACATAAATATCAACAGCAAGAGCTTCTTCTGAAAAAACTTAAGAGCATTTCTTCTGTTCCCCAGCAGACAGACTGGCTATCCCTATGTGGAAACAACCCTGTAATTCCACAGAGGTGATCAGCAGAGCTGCAACAGAACTGTTCAACAGAACCTTTAAAGCAAGTGGGAAAGCAACCCCCTACAATGCAGTAACAATTGCTTCTTCTATTTCAAAACACCCTCCCCCAAAAACTGTGTAATGGCTGTGGAGTTTGTTTTCTTGGGTTTTTTAAATGTATATTATATAGTGAATTTGTGTCATGGCTTTGCTGTGACAGTCCTCTGGATTGTAACTGGGAAGTTTCATCTATAAAACATAATAAACATAATAAAACATTATTAATCCCTGCTGCACAATTAAAGTGCCATAATTATCTACTGGCTGCACTGTACCATGCCAAGTTAGAAAAACTGAAGCTACTACTAAGAGGTGAAAAGTGACTTTAAGAGTAACTAAAAATGAGACTGCTTACACTTTTCATACTGCACAGGCCTTAGCTGCCAAGAGCCCTTGCCCACTTTTTCTTCCAGGGAGGCCCAGCCTGGAACTTCTCAGGACCCATAGTTGCACCATATTTCAGCATGGCACATTTGGCCGCCTTCATTTACACTTCTGTCACAAGACCACAAGCAACAGGGCAGAAACAAAAGGGTCCATGTTCCTTTCTTGAGGAGCTGATGTGCTACTGAGATGAGTAATACCTCAAGATGGCCATAAAAGAACAAAAAGTGTCAGCTGTAGGAAGTCAAGGCACTTCCAGGATCACCAGATCAAGTACAAGTCAGTGTAATGATTATTTCATACTCAATTTAGAAATAAATTAATTCCTCCTTTGAACAGTGTTATGAGCCAGCAGCAAGCTATAACTCATACTGTTGGCTGCACTGGACATTTCTCTGTTCAGGAGCTTGGATAAGATGGGGCCTTGGAACTCTTGACTTGGGGCCAATTTTGTTCTGATGCCATCATGCAAACCATTCATTTTCTGACATGGTCCTGCCTTTCCTAGTCTGACATCATGGTGTACTTCTTCCTCACCCCCTGCTCTTGGTAGGAGTGTTCTCAGATGGAGTCCATTTGTGTCTGATAGAGGTGAAATAATTAAAATTTCTCCCTCAGCACACATCTCCTAAGGCACGTATCTTCAGAAACCCAAAAGTATGACTTTTTCCTTGTCTAAAAGATACGTAACTACTCTTCCTAAAACAGAAATGAGAGGACCCTTGTATGGCAACCCATTTGCTCTTACGGCAACAGATGAATAGTGGCCAGGAATACTGGACAGGTAAGATTAATACCAGTTTCATGTTCACGTGAGCACAACCCAAGTTTAGCTGGGACAGTACTTCACATTTTGTAGTTGGTGGTGAGTAAAGAAATGCACTGACCTGCACATTATGAATTGTAAAGGTGCTTTTGGGGATCTGGCAAGGAAACAGCAGTAAACCAGTATGGCAGTAAGAATTAGGAATGCTCAGAGGAAATTGTTTATAAGGAAGACAAGGTGGGCAAAAAATGAAATTCCAGCTCCTGTGTTTTTTCTTCTAGGTATCTGCTATTGTTTGGAGCCTTAAAGGTCAGGCAGTCCTTATGAAGCCATGCTTCCTGCACTCTCCTCCCACTTGAGTGTCCTGTATTCATTCCTCCTCCCCAGGTTATGGCTCCCTCCATGGCTGGAGCTGGTTCTGGGCAGGCCCTTTGCCTCTTCACTCTCCACACCAGCTACTTCCATGCCTCTGTATCTGATGTTAATTCTGGACACAGAGATCCCTTTCCACACTGTCACAAGTCCCCTGAAAATCTAAGTTGCTAATTTGAATTACCATTTAAGGCATTAGTCATTTATAGAGGCTTGTCAGAGTCACCAGCCAGCAATAATACACTTCTTCCATGCAAACAGTCTCCTAAATAATAAAATAGTCTTCCACGACCCATTTTTCTCTGTTATAGCTGGATTTTCTGGGGATGTAATAGATCTTCAACACAATCAGGAACAATAAGACAATGACACAAGTTTAGCAATTGCTTTGTGAGATTAGGTTAATATCACGTAAAAAATGGTTCTCAGATTCTGCACACAGACAGGTTTATGTAAAATATATAAACATTTGTCCAAGTTGTTACAGATTGCATAAATATGGCATTTTTTTACTGTTGCATTTACAGATGTGCATGTACAATGATGTGCAAATAATCACAATCTGATTACAATCTTTGAAAGGTACTTGAACTTTGCATCCAAGTAACGCAATGAATGAAAAATGCCCACCAAAGAATTTAAATAGCAAACTTATAACATGGTTTAAATTCATAACAAATTTCAATGTCTTATCAGTAAAACTTTCACACATTTAAAATATTTTGTATTCATTTTATTTGTATATGTCAAAATACATTTTTTTTTCCAAAATAGTGGGTTTTGCAACTAGTTTCATGCAGATACAAGGTCTGCTCAGTACTACCAATAAAATCAATATAGCACAGTAGCCATTCATTTTTTTAGATATAAAGAATAAATAACCTAAATATAAAACACTAAAATATTAGAAACACGTATTTAATCATTCACAGGCACCCAAACTTACCAAATATAATCCAGAATATGCCAAACTATCTTGTAACAGAACTCAATATGTTGCAGCCATTCAATTCTTTATTTTATATTAGCATAAGACAATGGAAGTCCCTATGGTTCAGACCCACCTCTCATACAGTTCAATTACAATATCTCAAACTATCCGTGTACCTTTAAAATCAAAAATCCTGAGCTTGGTAGTAAGAGCATAACCTTACATCTTCAAAAAACCAATCAACAGAGAGAGGACATCATGTCTTCCTTACCAAAACATATCCCACCCCTGTAAAGCTAACCCTCCCACCCCCCAAGTAGGCAGTAGAACACAATGACCTTTTTAAATGAAGGGGTACAAATTCACATTTAATATAGTATATAATATAATCAATAATACAATAGCTACTACAAGCTTTACAATGTACAATTTGTTTTAATGGCTGATCTGTTCAGTGGTTTTAGGCAATAAACTATGTGCCAATAGGATGTCATATTTTGAATGGTTTAGTGAATATATAAAAGCTGTTTCTAACAAAAACGATCTTCACTTAAGTACTTTTTGTTTTTAAAGGCCACTGAAATGTATAAAATGGTCTGACATGGTGTTATCAAATTGGATGCCTTCTCACAGGGCAACAACAGTGCATATAAACATTATTGTGAGTGTAATGGGTTATGCTTTTCAAATGATTTAGTACATTACTTTGGCTAGCACAACAGTTTTGGACAGCACTCAGATAAATACAGGTATGTGAAATGTAGTGAAGCAGTTATATTTATGGTTTTTTTTATTATGGTGAACACTATCAAATGAAAAAAAGGGACAAAAAGATAATAAAGTTTTTATATAGTTTAGACCTTTTGTAAAGATAGGGCTCCATACAATGTACAATGTCTAAATTCTTTATACCATAAAAATTAACAAACTTTGTTAAACACACTATTCTGGATAGCCTAATTTGCATTAACAGACATTTGCAATAGGGAAATATATTCAAGCATGCCACGTGGTGGTCTGAAAAATCAAACCAGTACACATTTATATATACAGCATCACTCAGTACCTGCTCAAATGAATGTGACGATTACAGGATCTAACGTCTTTCACTACAAACTTCTTTTTTTTTTCTTTTTTTTTTAAAAGTGACCAATAAAGGCAGAAAACAGGACTCTTAAAATATTTCTAGTTTCAACTGACTTTTAAAGCATTTTGTATAGGAAATAAATGCATATTGCACAAACAGTGAAAGCAAATGTTCCACCAAACATCTCTGTTCCAGGTGGTTGGACAATACAACTCTAGTTAGCTACACAAATTATGTAATTTAAAAGGGTGTGTGGTCTCTGCAAATGGTAAAGCTGTGAAAACACTGTACAAGAAAATCTGGTACATGAAAAATTAGAAGGGAAAAAAAATCCAAACTTAAATCTTAAAGAAAAACTGAGTATAGGAAAAAAATGGGAATTGTGGCACAACAAAAACATTATTGAGTAACTGTCATCTGTGAGAGCTGAAAGCTTTTGTTGATGTAAAAGTGTTTATGTACAACTAAGGCTTACTGGTTAAATATCTGAGGCGTATCTGGCCTTGAATACTTTCCTTATTATGCTGTGGCTGTAAACAAGATTTCTCAGTCATTTTATCTTCTCAGCAGCTGCATTATAACAGAAACAATGATCTTGATACAAAAAACACACAGGTAAGAGGGTGTTTGGCAGGATATCTGAAAATGACAGTCTCCGAAGGATCTTCCCATACTTCCAGTGACTGCCATACCATGGTCCACTGGAGTTACTCGTGATGTGCAATACCGTTACTTGCTGCTGTAGTAAACCCTTTATTTGGAAAGTTTGCTTATAACTCTGATCAAGGCCCCATTTTCATCTTTTAGCCTCTGGTTGTCTGCCTTCAGGTCTGGTAGCATCTATGAAAAACGAAACATGATAGTTATTTGCTGTTACACCCCAAGTAAAAGCAGCAAGACTAGGCAAGGACTGTGAGTAAAAATCTTTATTCAGCTTAAGTATCTTGGCAGCTCTCACACTTCATATCAGCAGTTCAGAAAAATCTCCCCTTTTATCATGATACATTTAAGGGTTAGAGATTAGAAGTTTTTATTTGCTTGGACTAGATGCAGTAAAACTCAGTGGTGCAGATGACCAGCCTCTGACAAAAGCATTTATAGTAGCATGAGGAAAGTAATGAAATACTTCAAATTCCAGAGGGGAGGAAGGGGGGCAGGCGGAAAATTAACTACCAACAATTTAAAGAGGCTTGTCTATACTGCACTTGCAGAGTTTCAAAAAAACATGCTGTGGCTAAGCATCTCTACCACTGTGCTCTTGGATGATTTCATCCCGATCAGATACAGTGTGATTCAGCTTGTTAGCTCATAGCATTAATCCTCCAACCACTTCCAAAGTCATGTTGAAGCACACATCCTGTAATTTGAGATCATGTCCCTGAATAGCATAGCTCACACAAGATCAGATCACTGAAAGAGATCACAGCAACACCAGGCTACACACTCAGGCAGACAGGTTAGGGAACGGCAAGTTACGGCTGCCAAAGGAGATGGGTGACACACAAGCACAAAAGCTGCAAGGCAGAAGCCAAATAAGGTGAGAGTTGGACTGCATCAGATAGGAAAGGAAGACAAGTCAGGGCACAGAGATTGGTACTGGAAGAATTCAGCTTGCCAGAGAAACCAGAAATTATCTCAGCAGTTCTGTGCATCTACATTCACACACTGATAACAAACCACCTATCGCACTCACGGCTAAATTACACCGATGGATTCAAGTAGGGGTTTTACACAGGAGGTAACAGCCTATTCTTGTACAGTGGTTGCTCAGTAACCTCAAGTGCAAGTGTATGCAGGAAGTCTAAGTTCAGCTACCAACCAACCTATGTAACACCTGGTACCCTATTCTTTGTTATTTTCTTGGCACTAGTTTGTTTTCATTTTATCCAAACAAAATTATACTTTCAATCCCATTATATTCAGAATATTATAATGGAATAGTAAGAACTGAGAAGTTTAAAAATACAGGATTAATTAACTGTGCACTAGAGGCTTCATTTCTACATCTCCTTCTGTCCACACTCACTGCACTGAACTGCAGACCCCTTCACAGGAAAACAGAGTGGTGAACTGAAAATGACTGAGGTTGTACATATCTAGTTTCTTTCCCTGCAAATATCAAAATATGTGAAAGGAAGTTGACAGGATATAATAATAAGAAAAAAGGTGGTCTCTAAAATTAGAATAGGCAAAAATCATTCTGATGTCCTTGATTTCAACTCTGTTTTATGGTGGAGTTTAGGGGAAGCCACCTAAGTTGAGCTCTTCAGAGTCACAGAGAAGCTTCAATTATAGTCAAGTGAGAGCTGTGCTCTGAACAAAATGAGCTGTAAAATGCTGATTACTTTCAAAAACCATGTCAATGTTTGAAATAGAACAACATGAGTGATCTTTTTGCAATTTTCAATCATTGTTTAAATCTAAAAAAAATAACTGTAAAAAATAACTGTAAAAATCTGTAATAAATAACTACTGTTGTCCAAGATAGGGATCATATCCATATAATATGCATGTGTCTGCAAACAATCGAACAACCATATGTTCAGGCAAACCAACCAAAACCTCTTCTTCCTCCTTTCCATTCTGCTACAGATTTCATACCAAAGGTACTGGGTGAAACCAAAACAGCCCTTATCTAGCCATGCACAGGCAATCAAGGGAGTCTGGTTTTGTGCTGGTTAAATAGGTACTTTGAAAAGTAGTGTTGTGTGTGCATTCCAATGAAACCTCAAAGTAAAGCCAGGAATGTCACAGTCCTCTTTCAACCTACTGAGCAGGGAGGGAGCTGCAGCCCATAATGGTTAATTACATAGAGACAGACCCACAGAGAGGTAGATTTTCTGGTGAACTACTTTAACAAAATCCACTGTTCGAAATTAGAGCTTTAGCATAATCCAGTACCATTATGTATCTGCAAATCTGTAGGCAGATTTTAAACCTGATTCAATTAATAGGCAGAATAGGTCATAAGAAAATATTTTCTTTTTTGCTGTGAGTTTGCTAGAGAATAGAGGATGACTGATTAGAGACAAAAGGGTTATATGACAAGATAAAATGGCATCCAGTTGCACTAGGAGAGGTTTATATTGCATAAAGGAAAAATTTCTTCACCAAGATGGTTGTCAAGCAAGACTGCCCAGGGAAGTGGTGGAGTCGCTATCCCTAAAAGTATTTAAAAGATGTTTTGATGTGGCATGCAGAGACATGGTTTAGGGATGGTTGTGCTGGGGTACTGGTCGGACTTTATGATCTTGGAGGTCTTTTCCAATCTAAATAATTCTACGATTCTGTGAATAGCAGGAGATTCATCAGGAAGGGTAAGCACAAGTAACCTAAAATACTTACACTTCTCATCTATAGTAATCCCCACATACTTTAAACAATTCTCTTGGAGCAGTATATTTCTGTGGGCGCTCAAACTTCTCATGAGGTGACACCAACACCTTGTTTTTTCCTCAAGGGAGGAAAAAAATGCCTTTGCAGTAAATGCAGTAAAATTACAGTAACATACTGCACTTTGAATTCCAATTTGCTTCTCACTAAAATAGCCAAGTATCTTCCTGTGATGAGATTCTAGCATAAGATTAAAAATGCACTGTTTTGTCTGTTTGATCTGCCATATGTGGAGCCATCTCAGATCTTTACAGTAATAATCATGGCTGTTTTTGCTGGAGAATTTACCAGTTTGTACATATGAAACAACTTGATTAATAAAGATTACAAAAAGCTCATGAACTGTTGAAGTACCTGTTCAGATTACTCAGGCACACTGCTATTGTTAACCTACCATCACACTGTCAAGGCTCCCTGCTGTGTTTCCATTGCTTTTTTGCTGGTCAGGATAGCAACCTCCACAATGACCTGCCATTTTAAACTCCTGCTATGATGAGGAACACTGAATGGTTTTCTGTGATTAACACCCCAAATGGCTTACCATGCTTAAAGTAATACCAGTGGCTAGCAAAAAAAAAGACAGTATGGACGTATAGCTGTGGTCAGCAGTCATTAGATTAGCTCAGCTGTGTTGAAAAAACACATTGTTTTGCTGAGGCTGATGTAAGACAACTGCCCTAAAGGGACAGCTCTCCCTCCTCAGGTAGCAGTGTGCTCCAGCTGCTTTCTGCACAGTTAATTTAGTGATCCAACAATACTGTGGTGAGACAGATCAAGTACTATTATGAATAAAAGGATTTGTTTTCAGCCAGGTGAGTGAGCCGACTTCCACTTGTTCAGTAAGGGTTAACACAAGGGAGCATTGAGGAATGCAGGGTCTGGATCAGGAACACTACATCCTAATCTTAGTCCAATTCCAGAAAGACACCGAGCAAAAGGATAAACCTCTTCATTTCAGGCCTCTCAGTGGGGAAAATCTGAGATCAGATTCTGTGCAGAACGCACACTCATCATGTTCCTTTCTAAGCTGGAAGGGGGGGTAGATGAAAGGAAGCAGTTTAGCAGGAGTCACCCTGCAGAAGGCTGTTTATTTTTTTCAACTACATGTCTTAAAAGCTCACTGTAACCTCCAGCCTAGACACTTGTTATATTTAAGAGGAAGAAAGGCATATAGATTTGTCAGAGAATGAAACCACATTTAAGTTTTGAACCTTTCATGGGTTTCTGAAACAACCCTGCAATAACACTAAGAACAACAGACTAGCATTGTTTTCCAAGATGAAACTCAAAGCAGTTCATACCTTTATCAGAAGGGGTCTGAACCAATCTGACACACTAGGCAGAGGTTTTTTGTGTCTGTGATTTTACAGTCCATGCATTGTAGGACTCTCATCCACACTGCTAATTTTTATAGCAATATAAATCAATAATCTTAACTCTGCACTAGAACTGGATGTTTTAAATTGTCTAGGTAAGAATAAGGATTAACAAGACCCAAATGGGAAGTTAATACATGAAAACAGTAATCAACTTGAAATTCCAATAAATTTCTGAAAAAACAATACTTTGGTTCCCTCTGAAACACACAAATGTAAGAAAAATGGTTGCTAATGCAACCATTCAGAAATGCACAGTACTGACCCCAGTTCTCAAACACTCTTTTGTTGTGACTAAACTTTTATCACCTCTATGCACTTAAACCAAACTGCAGTAAGAAAGCTCAAATCTTAAATTTGTTAGAAAACTAGAAGCAAATCTAGTTGAGCATTTACACAAACATCAAAACAAGAGACTGACTTTAGTGTATCCTCATGCAAATCCAAATCCTTTCAGTTGTAGCCAAGGTTTTAACATGTCAAAGGTCTCCTGGACCCTTGCCAATTTATCTCCAAGGACAAGCTTCAGTGCTAGCAGGGACAATACCACATCATACCAGCACATCTGCAACACCTCTAGCTTGTACACTGGGCATCATGCTTTAGCTTTAGCCACACCTCCAGAACCGAGCAGCACTGAGTCAGTTTCTGACACACAAGTGTTAATGGTAATATTCTGCCCAAGCACAAACTGAGTGTCAACACCTGCCTGGCTAAACAAAGGAGAAGGAAGAGATTACAAGTCCACAGAGCGCAGTTGCCTACAGGACCCTGACAACTTGGCAAGCACTCGGGTCAAGGCCCTATTCTCAGTCACCAGCCGCTCATTTATGTGTTTCAAAGATTGAATCTGCTTTACTTGTTGCAGGTTCTGCAGGAATCAAAGAAATAGGAATGAAAGCAAGAAAAAAACCTACATGTATATTAGATAGAGCAGAATTGAAGGAAAACTTAGAAGAGACAGTCCTGTTTAAAGTAAATAAGCCGCTGTGAAAGGAAAGAATCAAACAAGTGGCACATTCTTGAAAAGCAATCTAAGTACCAGTAGTGATTAGTCACAGCTTTCCAAAACAGTTCAGGATGCATTAACAATGAGAGCTATTCCTGGAATTCTTCACTTAACATCCTAATTGCACAAACTAAATCTCCTATTCAAAACCCTGTACATAATGATACATTTAACATATACTTTTGAACAACTGTGCAACAAACTATGGGAAGAATATTTAATGTTTAATTCAGAATTTTCACTTATTGCTTATTGAAAGCAAACGTTTGGAAAAGGCAATACATTTGTATTCTCTATTTTTATCAGAAGCCCAGCTTTCCATAGCTTACATCCTGTCTTCTACTCTTGGGCAGGCAATTGTTTTCCTCTACCACAGTTTGTTTTTTCTATATTTCACTTCTGAAGACCCGTCAAGGAATCACAGACCTTGTGTCCTCCCTTACAGCAAACTATCTTGGTCTAAATCCAAGGGAGCCAGAGGCATCACAGTTGCTTTTCTGCCCGTCAGCTTCAATTACTACAACAGAACTTGGTGCATGTATTTTAATGAAAAGTATTTGGAGGTTAATGCCATTTTCAAGCACCAGAGGGAGCTCAAAAATAAACTTAAAAGGAAACTTCTTATTAACCAGTGACAAATATCAAATGTCAAAATAATGGTACTTTAATATTCCACTTAAATTCTATGAGTTTGGTTGGCCATGTCCAACATTTATATGAAAGCACATAGTAGAAAATAATCTCACTCAAATTCTCACCCTTTTTAATCATATCAGAGGGTTTAACATTGATAAGGACTAGTTAAAGAATCCAAACAAAACAGAAATGGAATTTATTTTAAAAAGAATATTGCTTCTGAGATTCACTTTATACATAGTTGAAAAAAGCAGAAATCAGTTTTTGTAAATCCTACTCGTCTGTCAACAGCCCAAGTCTACCTACTGCATTTTGTTAATTAAAACCTGATTCACACACTATACAATCAGAAATTTTTCTTTTGATATTGTTTCATGCCATCTAATTAACAAAGAACATGAGATAAAGATTGAAACAACACTTAATGATTAAATATCTATACAGTTATTTACTACCACTATTTAATAATAATGGGTTTTAATAATAGTAATTAGTAAAGAAAACTTACGAGTATCACATCAAAATTGTAGACCGCAATTCCATCTTGATTAGCTTAAGATATGTTTCACTCTAACCACCCCTGAATGTTTCTTGTTAGCCATGTTATAGAATCCTAGAACTCAGCACCTTCTCCACAATTGTACATGTACAGCTGCTTATGCCAGCCCTGCAGCTCCACTACAAGCTGTGTGAAAGGAGTGACTCTGACATGCTGTAACTTAGCTGTTTTCTAGTGAAATTAGAGACACCAGTACTACTGCCAGACTGCAAGTCTCACTGACATAATAATACACTTTGTTATTAATGGTGTACTAATTTACTTACTTTCAGTTCCTCTTCCATTTCAGATATCCTTCTTTCTAGTGCTCTTCTTTCCTAAATCAGAAGATGTGTGTTAATGTTGAACAATACAATGTTTTAAAAATTACAGCTTGTAAATACTGTGGTAACAGTGAAATACTTCAAGTTTCAAAGATCATACAACCAAAAGCATAGTGTGGAGAGAAAACTTGTGATGGCAGTGATATATAGAAATTTGGTCAATATGGAATTTTAATATCCAAAGAGGAAGAGATATAGAAATTAATATCAAGTCCTACAAAACATACCCCCTCCTTTTCACTAATTTAAAAAGTTTTTAAGTACAACTTGTTTGGATTTATTTTTCATGAGCTAGGCTTTCTTTAAGACCTTAATACCCAAGAAATGCAGAAAATTATCAGAAAAAACCAAGAATATTAAAAGATACAAGCACAAAAGCATTAGCTTTCACAGACAAAGGTAGGTGAAACATGTCTCAGCTCAGTGGGATCTGTCCACACTCCAAACTGCAACCTGATGTTGATACAACTGACATTACAGGACTTAGTTCAATACCAAAGAAATCTAGTTACATGAGATCACTTGCTTCTTGAGAAAATGTTTCCTGAAGATTTTCTGCATTTCTCATATAGTTTAATTTTCCTTTTATTTCCCTTTTTACCTGAGAAGCAGAAGAAATTATCCTTTGTATATGAATTTGATTGCACTGATTATATAACCAAGCCAGCTTATGGAAAGTTAGCTTAGGGTTTTCTATACTACACTGCAGTCTGCAGTGCAGATATGTTTTGATTTTGTTTAAACCTATTTTTCAACACATCTGACAGATGAGCAGCTAATGCAATAGACTTTGGGGCTTATAGCTTGATGCTTGCTTTCCTGTGTCAGACAATGCAGTGTATCTCACTTGAAAGCAGCTGCAGTTATCAGTACTCTACATTCAGATTTTTTTTCCAGAGGGTGAGGCAAAAGCAACAGATTATTGCAAAGTGGACATATGCATCTGCATACAACGGTGTTATGCAAACAGCAAGCAGCATTGGCTGAGGTGTGTAAAACTTTGGTTAGATCATACCGCCCAGTAGATACTGACTCTTGCCGGACACCTTTCAGATATAAATCATTTGAATTTAGTTTAATCACAGTGCAATTACACACCAACGTTTTCCCATTATAACAAACAACTTTAATTTTTATCAAAGTAATAAATATATTACTGCAGATGTTACTAATTAATGTATTTAACTCCTTCAAGGTAAGTTTTTTTATAATAACAATGAGCATAAGTACCAGAGAGTTAACGGATGTAAATAACAAAAATCCCACACTGTCTTACAATACTTAGAATTTTATCTGTTACCTACCAGTTTTACAGAATAACATATACTACGTGTTAATAATAAGCATTTGCTTAACTAGCATGTTGAGCTTGTTTATTAGCAATAAAAACCAATTCAGTAAAGTCTTTAATTGATTTTTTTATACTTCCCATTATATGAAAGAAACAAAGACTGGTATAGATATAATCTTTGGAAAACTGTTTGGTTCCTATTAGATGAAGCTATGCTTCTCTTTCTCTTGAACTGCTTGCTCTTTTTGGAACTAGCTTAAGGGATGCCAGTGGAATAATGCACTGCAGTTTCATTGAGATGATTTGCCAGTATTATTTGATTATTTCCAGGACTCAAAGAAAGCATTTGAAATCTATGAGGTCTAAAATTTTATGATATACTGCCTCAACTCTGTAAGGTATACCAAGGAACATTTGTAACTCACAAAAAAAGAAAAAAGATACATGCTAATATCTCATCTTAGAAAATATAATAGCTCATTTGTATTTATCAAAGCAATTAGGAGCCACAGGATTGTGCAGTGAGACTGAGGTACACAATTTTATATATATGAAAAGCTGATCCCCCACCAGAGCTATACAATTTTTAAGAAGTGAAACCAGATGTATATGCCTACATATATTTGTATATTTGATAATGAAAAGAAATACACCTCTCCCCAGTTCAAATTCCCAGCTGAAGAATTCTGAACTTGGGAAAAATTTGTTTAAAGGTACCTACAGTTTTCTGAATTCTAATCCAGACTGAAACCTGTAAGTTTAAGTTATCACATCATACAAAATTCTGCAAAGGGGTGTTAGCATATTTGGAAGAGTGACAGGTTGTTAAAGAAACCCTTATTTTTGCCCATGTATTGCTAGGACCCTGCATGTGTGGTCTGATCTGTACCCCCATCCCTGTGGAAATCGTCCCTTTCTGGTAAACAGTTTTCAAATGAACAATATTCACACTGCATCACCAAGTCACATCATGGAAACCCACTTCTGAATAAATCAATTCTGAAGAATTTAAATAAAATTCAAAGCCAGTATTTTCTGAATTTTATTAGAGTGAATATCTAGGCTTAATACATATTTTCTACACTGAAAAGGTAGGTTTCAGCTTGAAAATATAGTATGAAGATGCCTTCAGCTCTTTCTCTGTCAGCCTTTCATTTCTTACAATTTTTCCTCACTACTTTACTTTTGCCCTCTCTTCTTTATGTAATTTATATAAAATCTTTAGTTTCATATTTTATTTTAGTGAAGTCATATACTTGGAGAAGCATACTGAGAAAAGCTCTACAATTTCTTTTAATTTTTGCTTTTTTATTGTTACATTACACATTAAAATGGTGTCCTGAAATTATTTTTAAATGCTAAATTCTACAAGCTTATTTCTAGAGATCAGCTGTTGATGACTAGCAGCTGAGAACCCCCAGCTTCAGTCACATTTGAAGTGAAACTTCAGATTTAAACAACACAGAAAATACAATCATAAACATATTCCTCATTTAAATTCCTGTCTGAAAAGGAGTGTGTAATTACAAACAAGATTCAGATGTACAAATTTTGTGTAAATCCTGTTTCAGCCATACAGCACCCTAGGTTATGTACATACATCACTAAGTTCATTATTTTATCCACTAGCTCTAATACTAATACATTTACGGAAAATAACATTTCAGAAAGACGTTTTGCTGTTGGACTGAATGTCTTAAAAAAGTGCAAGAATTCTTGAAAAAGCCAGTTGTTTTAATGGAATGGCCTGTTTTGGGAGAAAGCAGTAATTCAAAACTGAAATAATGTCTATCTATGCAGTACTCCGTGCATTGCCTATGAACCCACACAGTAATGGATGCAGCTACATCTATTAAATAATTAAATGTCCACTTGTGTGCCCATGCTAGCAAGCAAGGAACCAATTATCTGCTGCTGAAACCTTTCTATCACTGCCCACACTAGGATGCCAAAAAATTAGAGAGAAATAGCTGCTAAACAGCAGCAATTAACTGCAGAGACTATTAAGATAAAGATAATGAAACTTCAGGAAGTGCCTGAGAGTATTTCTACATCTCCATGTGCTCCTGTAAAATCTGTTTGTTTATATACTGGAGAGTTTTGTATAACTTAAACTTGTTTTTGAAACCTAAAATACTGGAAAATCAATACAAAAGCCTAATGAGTATGACATTTACTGGGGATAAATAAATATTTACATCAATTCTTACTGTCAAAGTCTAATTTCTTTTTCCAGATTGTCTCTAATGTGTCACTCCAGGATCAAGGGAGTAGAAAAGAATACGCTGTGTTCAGAGTCATGAAAGAAGCCAAGACCACCACACAATCAAGGTAGTTTGCTTTACGCTGCTGTAAAACTAAACTTTTACAGGGTTGCATTTTAAATTAGTACGAAACTACAGCCTAAAATTATCACGTGTCCAACTTCTGAAATAATTCCTGTGGTCTGCCTCGCATACGAATTTACAGCATGACTTCTTTCCCATTCAATTTAGAGTTGTCTCTGCCTCTGATGCCTGTCTTCCTGCACTGATTACTCATACTTCCACTTTCTCCACCTACCCCATTATCATATTCCTCTGGAAAAAGTTACAGTGCAAGGAAGGAGGTGGATAAAGATAATTTTATATCATTAGCAGTTTTAAGGTCTCATGTCTGTGAGGCAGAAACAGCTGTTTCATTACCAACAATTGGTGCCTCTGGAAAGCTCTGAGGAAATTAACTTCTCTATATCTTGGAAATGTGTTAAAAAATGAGACACAATGAATCTGCTTAACCCAACATGGTTGGGAATGCCAACATGGTTTTGGATGAGATGGAATAAGTGGCAGATCCATGGAGAGCAGCAGAGTTTAGAAACTGGTTATCACGAATGAACAAGCAAACTAAAGGCAATTCTTAAGAGCAATTCCCTTCTCACATTCATTGCCACTTTGAAACCTAAAATCCCCAAATCCTCTAAAAAATGCAAGTTATAAGAAAGGCTTCCGTTCCTACTAAAATATATCCAAAACGGGTAATAAATAAAATAAAACAAAGCTTGAATTGGAGTATTTAAAAGTTCTTTGGTAGAAACTCACCCTTTTCTCCATTTCCAAGAGTGATCTGTCAGCAAATCTTTCTTGTCTCTGAAACACAAAATTGATGAAGATATTGATACGTGCTTTAAAACAACACAGAACTGAGGAAAAAACCAACTGGGTATTTTAATATTCTGTCTGAACTATGTCACAAAAAACCCCCATTTTAAAGTGTGTTCAGGGAAGTAACACTGAAATAAAGAATAAGCTGGATTTATCATGCACTTCTGTGACCATACCTGTTATTTAATCACTACAAAGCCTTTGGCTAACAGGAGTAACATAATATTTCTATCTAAAAGCATTACAAAACAGACATCTTTTAAATGTTCTTCACTAACATTTGCAGGGTACACATGAACGACAATTAAGTGCAGATAAATTGTACTAAATATGATCCAACAACATGAAACATTCTACAGCAAGAGTAGACACATTTAGACAAATCTAACTCCAGTGTATGTGTCTTGTATAACTGTATGCAGCTCTGTTATGTGACAGCAGTTATTGGTAACAGGAGTGCACTGTTTGCTCTTCATTTCCAAGATAAAGCTATCTAACCAGCCAGGAAGGACTGGCAGGTTATGCCAATTTACCAGCAGGTTTATGAACTAATCAATCGATCAATACCAACTGTCAGTTTGAATATAAGCTTAACAGCTTAGAAAGTGCTTACTCCTACCCTACAAAAAAGTTGTATGCAGATACATGCTGGCAAGAACCACTACTTAAGTAGGCAAGAAGCAGCACATTTTGTTCACAGCTGAAGACCAGAATAGTGACTATTTTCTATTTAGAAAGAGAGAAATACTCTTCTCCATTCCCATCTTTGGATAAAAAACAAAGCTGATGCCTAGTAAAGAGTAGCCCATAGCCTGGGGTGCTTCTGGTTTACTATCTACACTGTTGTTTAAGCACACGCTTTTTTGTTTTATACAAACCTGAGTGGTCTTCTCCAACTGTAGCTTAAGATCTGTAAGTTCCATGTTGGTATCATGTAACTGTGCTTTCAGTTTTTCATTTTCAGCTAGAATCTGTTCATAAAGCTAAGAGAAAATATTTGTTAAAAAATATCAGATAATAGTGAGATTAGGCAGAAAACTTCAAAAGTAGAATCGAACCATACGTTAACAAATACACTAACAATCTAAGAAGTAAAATAAAGATGTTTAAAATTAGCAAGCACTGTAAGGAATTGTTACTAAAAATTTCTAGAAACAAGCAGCTTTGCATAGGGAGCACACAACTTACCTTATACATAATTAAGCCACCTTTTTTTCTTCAGACTTCACAGATTACCCCACCACAGTAAACTTTTCAACAAACTTCTCCTCTATTTTAAAACAAGATCTAAACATATTTTTACCTTATATGTATGTAAGCTGGCAAATATACAATAAAAGGCTTCACATATGTGTACATCAGTTTTAATTATATTTTTCTTATGATAAATACTATCATATTATTTTTTTTATTTGACTGTATCTTGGCTCCTCTGGATTTCCCCCCTGCCTTGCAAAGTACAAAAGCCAGAAGCTGCTTCATTATGTGTATTTTTCCCCACTGTAGTGGTTGCTGTGCTTCTCCATTCAGTTAAGTTACTTTAAGTAGCATTTCTGATGCAATGTGAAGTTACTTTTACACAATTTAAGAAAAACAGTAATGAAGTTCTATTTTTGCACCAAGCTTATTGGATCAGATACCTTCTTAAAATCAGGGCTATCATCTTTTTCTAGTCTACTGCAGTATGGTTTTCGATCTTCAAGATAACTCTGTGACCCCGACCGCCCCTGCGCTGAATCGTAACGATCACCTGCAGACATGCTGAGTGATCCCGTATCATATCTGTAAAAGAGAAGTTCTCATTTTTCTTTGCCTTTGCTGCCAAACTGAGACCCCTGACTGTATCAAACATTTTCAGTTTGCTACCAGCTGAAAACAACCAAATGCAATTATGTATTTTAGTTAAACTACCGTCTTCTACTTTCATTTTCAAATGAAAAACAAACACATAGTTTTCACTTTCAAATTTCATTTTTATATTCTCCAGTACTTTAAGATTCTGGGTGAAAATGTTTTCAAATTGCTCAGTCTGCACAGTAATGCATGCAAAGAAATATTTAAAATATAATTAAATTATTTAATGCAAACAAGTATTTACATGCCTTAAAATACTTTAAAACTAGCTTAGATAGCTTAATTCTTCTTTATTTATAAAGAACATATATTTTTTTAAAAGTGCATTAGTTTAATTGAAGAGTTTTAAAACACACAAGATGAATGGCCTAGATGAATTTTAAGTTTTAGTACAGAAACCAAGATTTCAAAACTATTTGTGGTGAATTCTAGTGTTTCAACAGAAGCAGTTGATGAAACAAATTTTTAGTAGTCTTTATCCTAATAACTCAATAGCAACCATATTAATAAAGATAAGGGTAATTTCACACTGTTCACTCTTCACTAATCATGTGTTAGAGCAGTTTAATTTAACAGATTTTCACCAGTCAGAACACCATAAAATCTGTCAATTAAAGCTAATGGTCCAAAAAGAAATTAATTACTTTTAAAAAAATTATCAATATTTCAGCATTTACTTTTTAAGAGATCTTAAGGAAATATGTTTTTCAGAGGCTGTATTTTTCTTGAGGTTACACAGAAAATTTTCAGTAGGATACTCTAAAAGAAAGGCAATAAGAACCTCTTTATCTTCTTTGTAAAAGCAGGGTCCATGCTGAGAAATCTGTAGGGCATAGAACTATGTCCACTATGTTCTATGAAATGCCCAGCCTGCCTTCAGAGCACTGCAAATATGGAGTTCAACATATTCCCCAACATGGAGTACTCCGCTCACACATGGCAGGACTGTAGCTTTACAATCATACTTTATGCAAAATGTAAGTATCATCACAGCCTTTTAAAGCTCAGCCTAAATACTGGGCTTAAGCTGAATTTGTACATAAAGAATTTAAAATGACTACATGCAGACAGAAAATGTAACAACTCTAATTTATTTAAATTGCACATACCTTGAAAGGCTCTCACTCTGAGGTGGGGAGAGGTAAAAAGAGAGAAAAAGAATGGCTTGGTCAATAATTTAATTAAAATATATAACAATCTGTGAAGAGATACAACTAAACAGTTATGTCAAATGCACATGCCATCCACCAGTATGTATTATCTGAACTGTGCCCAGCTTCAATTTTTTTATGTCTGGAAAAGAAAATAAATATGTGCTAGAATGCACTTGACAAAATATGATTTACAAGGACATTAACATAACACTCAAAAAGTCTGGAGTACCCTAAGCAGTGGAGTTATTTCTGCAGTTGGTGCATTCTGGGTTTGCTTCTCTGTTATCAAAGGCAATAGAACAGTGTTCCTCAAATTCACTGTTCCTTCTTTCTCTTCTTTAACATTAGCTATGATGTTTTGAACATAAGGACTTCAGGTCAAAACAACAAATTAAGATACAGGATCACTGTTTCAACATAGTGTGACTGCAAACAAGTTACTACACCAACAACATAAGGCAGTACTTATTAGACTTAATTTAAATGGGAGTAAATTCTGTCCCTGTGGATTTACCTGGAATGAATGAATGAATGAATGAATGACAAAAAATTAAACTCTTTAGTTGAGAAGTGAAACTTAATTAAAAGTGATGATTTAAGAGTGAGGGAGTGACCTCTAAGCATTACATCAGTCATACAAACCTTTTTCCCTTCTGGATGATCAATACAAATTTATAATTTCTTCCAATTAGTACTCCAATGTGAAGTGAAGATATTTCAGTCAAGAAACTACACTGATGTATCATCACCTGGACATCTTCCCATATTATTCACCTAGCAGTGGCTGAAGCCTTCCCAATAGGTGGTTTTCTTGGGGGGCTTATGTGGCTTGCTTGGTTTCCTTTCATAGAAGGAAACTGTATTTTTTCAAAGTACATAGGTAACCAGCAGCATTCTCCACAATACACTCAATTTCCCCTTTGACACCTTGAAGTGCACTTAGTGCAGAGGATATATCAAAGGTACATGCTATAGCCTAACCACTCCTAATAAAACATCACTGTTTTCTGTCAAGAGCATGACTAATGCTGCAAATTAAGAGATTTTGTAAACTATGCCACAGTTAGTTAATAAATTATAAGCTAACCACAGTTGTAGTATTTATTCAAATTACTAGGGTTTTTTTGCAATGCATCATACTTAAAAATTTGCTTCACAGATCTACCAAAGAAATCTACCAACTTCCTTATTTTTAAGTGGCTATCCTATAACTTAGTTGTGAAGACTATTCTAGCAGGAAAACCAATTTCCTTTAAGTAACAACATGGCATTTTTTTCTGCCAATTCAAGAAATCCTATGCCCTTAATATTAAAAAGCCAAAACAAAATTAGAAAGCAACTTTGAACTGTCAAAAGTGCTTAGAAAAATCTTCCTTCTCTTTAATAGCATTCCTTTAAGGGCAAATGATCATCTAAGGAGTCAAGTGTTCTGAAGAACAAGCACAAACTGAAATGTGTTTTTGAGACAGTTCTTCCCAAAACCTCTGACGCGAATAAGATAATGATTTTTTCTCATTCCTCAACATTTTCAGGGCAGAAATCAATTCTTGTCATTGTCTTCTAATTTTCTCTGTAGCATGCAACCAAATCACATCCATAACTTCTCTGGGCAACCTGTTTGGGTGTTTCACCATAAAATCATTTGCGTTGGAAAACACTTCCAAGATCACAGAGTCCAACCTTTGACTGAACACCATCATGACAACTGAACCATAGTGCTAAATGTCATGTCATTGTTTCTTGAATGCTTCTAGTGACAGTGACTCCACAGCCTCTCTAGGCAGCCTGTTCTAATAAGCTTAAGTACCCTCCCCAGTGAGAGAATTCTTCCTCATGTCCAACCTGAACCTCCCTGGATCAGCTTGAGGCCATTTCCTTTTGTCCTGTCCCTGTTGCCTGGGTGAAGAGGCTGACCTCCCACCTGACTACAGCCTCCTTTCAGAGACTTGGAGAGAGGTCTCTCCTGAGCCTCCTTTTCTCCAGGCTAAACAACCCCAGCTCTCTCAGACACTCCTTGTAGGACTTGTGCTCCAGGCGCCTCCCCAGCTTTGTTGCCCTTCTCTGGGCATTTTCCAGCCCCTCAATGTCTTTCTTGCAGTCATGGGACCAGAACCAGACAGGACTCAAGGTGTGGCCTCACCAGTGCCAAATACAAGGGGACAATCCCTGCCCTGCTCCTGCTGGCCACACCATGGCTGACCCAGGCCAGGATGCCATTGGCCTTCTGGGCCACCTGGGCACTGCTGGCTCATGTTCAGCCACTGTCACCAGCACCCCCAGCTCCTTTATCCCTTGGGCAGTTTCCAGGCACTGTGTCCCCAGCCCGTAGCACTGCATGGGGTTGTTGTGACCCAAGTGCAGGACCCAGCACTTGGCCTTGTTGAACCTCATCCAGTTGGCCTCGGTCCATTGATCCAGCCTGTCCAGATCCCTCTGCAGGGCCTTCCTGACCTCCAGCAGATCAACACTCCTGCCCAACTTTCTGTTATTGGTGAAGTGACTGAGGGTATTCAAGATCCCCCTCAGCCAGGTCATGGATTAAAGTAGTAAAGAGGACTGGCCCCAAAACTGAGCCCTGGAGAATTCCACTCATGAGCAGGTGCCAGCTGGATGAAATTTCATTCATCACTACTCTCTGGGCCTGGGCACACAGCAAAAAGTGCACCTGTCCAAGAACTCTTGGTCAGTCAATTCTACACTTCTCCACCAGTCCAGCCCAGCACACTCATCCTTCTAATAATATTCAGAATTTTGGGGCTGATTCAGCACTATTTCACTGTAATGTTATTAATTCTATCAGAAGCACCATGCAGCATGTTCTACCAAAATTAATCTTTACAGAAGAGTATATGAAGTAATTACAGATCTAAGGATAATGATGTGTACTACTGGGAGGAAACCAAATATGACTATGCAGTTATGTTAATGCGGCACAGAAATAAAAAGCACAGCGAATCAAAATGGCACAGAATGAGTCTCTTAAGTAAAATGTTTAACAGATGTGTACTGGAAGCTTTTACAAAAAAGGAAAGAAATATCACTTGAGTTTTATTCCTAAGTAATGAATCTGATTCTGTAGTGTGTTACTCCAGAGTTTAAGTACAAAAAATACATTCTTCCTATAGCCCCACTTTTGTAACTAATTCCCTTTTAATACCTCTTCATCCCACTGTCAAACACAATTCTGTTTTTACACTTTTCTATTTTTAAGGACAAATCAAGCCTATTATACTGTTTTTCACTGACTTATTATCAAGACTAATAATACTCATTTAGGATATTCAGAACACCATTTTGTTCACTGAAGAAATTACATACATTGCGCTCTTCAACTTTCTGCGTTTTCTTAAATTAACTTCTCATACTATTTTTTAATTATAATGACAGCACTGGGTTTAATTTTCAAAGGTTTTAATTAGTGTGTATAAGTAATTAGACCTAATTTATCTGAAAATAACAATGTGGGTGAAATAAAGATTTTGCTGGGTACAAACTGAATACTTGCTCCAGTAACCTGTTGCATCATGTTCCTGACCTATGTGGCAAAAATCTTATCTACATAATCAGAATGGAAGACAAAATGGTCAGTTATGGCCACTGTTGATACATAAATTCAAGTGTAACAAAAATTTTACAATCAAAATGTATCTGTTAAAAGTTAATGAACAAATTATCTTTCTTGAATTACCTGAGTTTCTTTCTTATTTGTTCCTTCTTCTGAATCAGATTGATGATCCTGTTCATTTTCATCACTCTGGTGAAAAGGGGGAGAGAAAAAATAATTAAACTGTTGAAAGCTTGGTAAGATTTTAATGCATTCTACACTTGGGAGTAGGAAAATGTAAGAGCAGCAGAATACTCCACAGAGAATACACAGGATATATGAAGAAAATTCTCAAACAAGTACATGTTTTCAGTACCAGAAAGAGACGAAACAATTTTGCATTTGATACATGAAAATCTGACTTTTACATTACATATGGATCCCGTGACAAAGAAAAGGGAAAAGGAATAGTCTGAAACATCAACTATAGCCTTTCTAATCTGACAGCAGTTCTTTAAGTTGCTAAGTACATAGCTACCTGCAGTGTGCCAAATAAAGTGTCTCATTTTTTATAGCTTTGGTATGCATGCAATAGAAAATATTTGTTCAAGAATTTATTTATTTTCTTTAATTATGATTAATTCCTATTAAGTTACTGTTACTACAGTGTTCTAGAATTTTTGTTGTATCAACTGAAAAAAACTTTATTTTGATTTTGCTTCTGAAAACATCAAACCAAAAAATATTTAAATTGAAAAGCATAACGTTTTCTAGAACAATTAGTTACGTATTGTATTACTCTAAACAATTCTCTATTTTAAGAGTACACTATACCCATTTCATTTTGCCACAACCAACGTTTACTTACATCCTGAGTCCAAAAAGAAACTCCTGTAGATCGTCGTTTTTCTCTTGGTCTCCTTCTTTCCCTTATAGACTTAGGCTGTGACTTATCTTCTTCCTTTTCCTCTTCTTTTTTGCCCCCTTCTGTTAATAACAACTTTCTCATTCACTGAATTATGGCACAATCTAATTTTCTGAAATACTTCTTCTCAGTGTTTAAAATGCTCACAGAAAATTCCTTTTACCTGAAATAAATTCACTGAACAGCTTCTTACCACATACAGTGTTTGCTGTAATAAACACTCCCCAGAATACATAGCTCTAAAATACTGTAAATACTAATTTCACTTCAGTCACTGAAATAAAATGTGTTAATGTAACAGTAATACAATACAACTTGGACTTACAATTCAGTTTTCAAAACTGTCATGTAATAATTGAAACATCTGTGTCAGCAGATGTATGAAAGTAAAAAAAAAAGAGTCTATCATTTTTCATCAAACAAGCTGGTTTTAGCATACATCTAGGATGCAGTACTGAAAAAAAACCCCAATTTTTAGAAGTCCTCCTTTTCATCGCAGTCCTCTCCATTTCTGCTCTAAGGAAAAAAATTTGGGACCTCCTATACTTAGATTATTACAGATGTTATTTTTCTTTAAAACAAATGCAATTGCAATTCAAAATAGATGTAACAACTCAGGATTGTGCTTGCTCCCTATTTGTTTACAAGTAATTTGTGCAAAAACAAATTAAATAAACCTGCTGAAACCTAAGTTCTTTACTTATTATCATGCAGCCTGTTCAGCCTGATGTTCTTTAATTAAATAAAGAAACCACAGAATTGAGTTCAGATAGAAGAATCACTAATCATAAGTAACTATCAACATTAGTCCTCAGAGGTAAATAAACACTTAAGAGTGAAGCAAGAATTAAATAGGAAAGAAGCAAAGTACATCTGTGGTGAACATACACCTTTTCTAATTTAATAAACTAGAATTTTACCTCTGGATTTTCAGATGGTAGTGTATTTCTCCTCCAAAAATCATAACTTGAAAAAAAATAGAACCTGTGGTAGCTAATATTTACCAATGAAAATCTTTTCCATAGATCAATCTGGAGTGATTTCCTAAAGCAGGCATTATGAAAGAATTGTAATCCAAATTTCAGTTCATTTTAGGACAAAGAGAAAAAAAATCAGAAAGCATATCCATGAAGCCTAGCTCCAGTAACTTCCTCAGAAAACATGGCTATACTGCTATATAGTTCATGGAGATTTCGTCAGTGGATCATTTTATCTGACCCTCTGTAAAACAAAATTATCCATTTCCATCAGTAACCCTACTGTGAAGTTATTGATCAATAACTTGAATTAAAGTATTTCTCTCAAGTCAACTGTAGTAAATCCAAGAGCAGGAGATCACACTGTATGTTAACAGGCTCTTCCTTTGACAGGCAAAGAATCAGACACACCTCTCAGAATTACAGCAGGTGACTCACAGGTGAAATGAGGGCAAAATCTCTGTGACATCAGAGAAAAACCTTTTTGTGATCTTTGAATCATGCATCTAATAATCAGTTTAAGATTATATAAACCAGCAGAAAGTATGCAGAAGTATGGTTACATCTGAACTAGGATGGGAAACATCCCCTTTCCTTTTCCAGCTGCTCATGCAACCCAGAGAGGTCCTTAAAGAAATAAAGGGTCATTTCAGTCCTTCAGTGTGGAAGGACTGAAACAAACCCCTAGTTATTTAGCAATTATTTAATCAAGTAAAATTCCTTCTTAATACCTGCAAGTATTTATGCCCTGAAATATGGTATTTTATTATAGCTGCTGTGTTAAACCAGAAATTAAAGAAAAATTTAAGGGGGTATATTTGAAATGTCTGTGACCCAACAATGGAAAAAAACCAAATGGCTGGCAAAACACCCCCAAATACAGAAAATCTTTTTTCTTCTCTATATGAAAGTTCTGAAATTTCTTACAGAAGATTTGAGCAAGGTACATCCCCAATGGTCTTACATATCTCACCCTATTTTGAAATACCTCTAGAAATGTAAGCTGCCCTTTGTCAACTAAAACAACAAAAAAACCCTTCATAAACAGTACTCCTACCTCTCTCACTTTCCTTTGTTCCACTCCGAGAATAGGCAGAAGTTATACCTATAAGGCTGTTTGGTCTGTTTAGCTGACTTGAACTTGATAGAGAGCTAGTGGAGGTGGAGAGTGAAGAGGTGGATGATGAAGAAGTTGAAGTTGAAGTTGGTCTATAGCGGTGATATGGCTATTCAACAGAAAAATGTCAGAATTAATTTACCAAGATAAACAAATACAAACCATGGGATATTAAAACATTTAACTATATAAATAATTCTTACAGTAGTACCAAAATTAAAATAATATCGTTGGAGTAAAGATTCATATAATTTCTCTACCTAAAGAGACTCATCATGAAAATACCTCTTCAACAGTTCGGGAATATCTTTGTCTATAATCATCGTCTTTAGTTTCAGATTCTTTCTTTTCTTCTTGTTTTTCTTTGTCCTGTTTTTCTTTCTCTTCCTTTTCTTTTTCTTCATTTTCCTGTTCTCTGGTTCGTGTGGGACGACTTCTTCCTATAGTTTTTTCAGCTTCTTGAAGATCTGTCAGTGTTACGCCCTGTGAAAACAGCAGTCAGCAAACACCACTTAAATATAACATTAGCATTAATATAGATGATCATGTATTTTGAAGAAAACATTCAACTTAAGAAAGTTAAAGCTATCTATTAAGAAATAAATGTTACCTATATATTCTATCTATAAAGCTTTCCTCTTGAATCTTGGAACCAAACATCCCTCTGATATGTGGCAAGTATTTGCTGTAGTGTGATCTGCCACAAACTCCCCAGCAAGCCAATTTTTAGCTGAACTAGTAGATACAGATTGCATAGAAGATCCCATAGAAATAATTTAAGAATCCAACAGATGCTTTTAATATGATCGTAAGCATACTAAACATTCTGAAAGAGCCATAAAAATTTAATACTAATATTTTCAGAAATGTTGAGACTTTACAAATTAATTCCTTACAACTGAATTTTTAGGTCAGCAACACTAAAAAGTCCCCCGTTATTTTTAGGCTAAAAACTAGTTTTGAAATAAGCTCAGAAAGCAAAAAGTTTTATGAAGACAGGTTTTCTCTACTATGCTTTTCAGCTATGTATCTTAGTGAGACAATGCTCAAAACACTTTGTAATCTACTCCTCAAAGCCAACTTTGCATCTGAGCAGTTAATTAATTGCTTTTAGTGTTGATAAAGTTTAATCCAGTAATTCCTGGTAGCTTCATCACTGTGAAGATTCAGCAATAGTTAGCCTGTATTCTGACTACCTTTCAGGGCTCTGAATTAGTACTACGAAGTAAAAATAACTCCTGTATGATGAAGTTGTATCAAGCAGCACAGACGTCTCATTAGGAAAGCTAACCAGAAGTATTTGAGGGGTTTAAAACTGAAAAGATTTGAATGCAACATTGGTAAGCAATGTAGCTACAGACTCAGCCTAAAAACAGGTAAGGACAATGGCTAGAGTACTTCTCTAGAGTACAGGGTATAAAGGGTAGTGCTGTTTTATTCAGGGACTATTTGCTGATTATTCTCAGTTTGCCAGCAGACAGTGGTCGGCAGTTGCTCCACTGCCAAAGAGCATTCGAGTACCATTAGAGATACTCTGTTTTGCTATTGCCACATTGCTCCCTGTGATAGGATTGTGCTAGTTGCTGACAAAACATGGATAAAAACTGGGAAGAACTTCCAAATATATCAGTGTGTAAACTAAGAGAGAGAAATGCTGCAAGGAGACATGCATTAGATACTTGATTATTAGTATGTAATAAAAAACTCTCTTTTAGTATTTTTCTCTCTCCAGAGAAACTAGATTAAAAGTATTTTTCCTTTGTCATTAATCTTATTAGCCATCCATATGTTGATCAGCTCAATTATATTATCTACAATTGCTCATGCACAGAAAAAAAATAATTAGAAATGGATGCAAATGCAGTATGCTATGACTGTTTCTCAAGAATGATGTTATGGGTATGTTTTCAAAAATCTAGAAGCTTTAGTAATACTATACCTGTGTAGATCTTCTAGACTGTCTTGCTTGCCTGGATCTAGCTTTTCTTTGGGACTCGGACTCTTCATCCCGTACAGGAGTGAGGTATGATCTAAAGAGTTAATTACAAACAAAATTAGCACATGATAATTTTTGCACAGGAAACCAAGGCTGTCAGAAGAAAATATTTAACTATATAGGACAGATTACATTTAGACATTTCATCCATATCATACTGATGTACTTATTCATCAAGACAGCAGCCTTAGAACTCAATTAAAATATACACAGTTTTCCTACTTAATTTAGATTTCTTTTTACCATTTTCTATAAATATAACTTCAGCTCTTTTAGTATTTCACTAACGCAGGGGGAGGAGACCTCAGAGATTCAGCCAGTTAGACCTTTATACATCAAATATGTGTGTGTATTAACTTCTAACATAACTTGTAAGCTTTTAGAAAAAAACAAATGTACTGTTAATGCAGAAAATCTAATTATATCATCCATTTAACCAGAAATTAAGAATCCCTGAGAAGGTGGTTACCATATTTTCACATGAATCATCCACACTTTGAGTAGTCCAAGTCCCTTTGAAAAAAATGAGCTTAAAAATAAATCTTCATGAAACCCACAGAAGTCCTGCAGAACAAGCAGGTAATTGTAATTAAAGACAAAAGGCTACTAGAGTAGACATACAAGGTCTGGACTCTTTTTAAGAAATACTCTGTTCCAAATAACAGGTTAAAAAACCAACAGGAGATACATGCATGCACAAATGCATATATTTATATGTAAACCCATAATAAAAGAACTTAAAGGTTTTTAATGCATTTGTTGATTTTCTATGGCAGAATATTCTGGGAAGCTGCTACAATTTCACACAGTTTTGAAATCCTTGGATTGGGTAAAATTTAGGAAGAAAGTGAAAAAAAAAAGATTTTAAAAAAGTGAAATCAAAAGGTAGCTAAAAGGCTGCTTAAAACTTCTCTGAGCTCCTTTAGATTAGATTCTCTAATATTTTCTGATTGTCTCTTTTTATATATCATTAGTTAAGAACAGTTAAGAATCACTGGCTATAGATTCAGTAATTATCTAGTGATTATTCCATCAGCTATTAACTAATATTAATAATTTACGTATGGGAAGAGCAGTTTGCTCACCTAATAATATATTTGGTAGGCCTTAGCAATACTAAAAAGAGTTCTGAAACAATCATAAGAGTTAAAAAACTTAATTTACACAGACCTAGAGGTTACAACCTATGCTCTACCCCATTAAAATACTCACAACTAACTGCTATATTTAAAAATGTTGAAAGAACTCTAATCTTATGGTGCATCTTTAAAAACCCGCACTGTGTAAATTTGATTTCCTTATCTGGATCTCTTGCAACAGCATTTTTGATTGACTTTGATTGACATTCCATTTCCCAAAAACTTTAGGCTGTATCCACATAAGGAAAAGGATGCCTGTTAGGCTGCTTTAGTTAACTTGACCTGAACCACCACTGACTAAGGAGGACTTGATTGCAGAGTTGGTGTCATCTTTAGGGCTTAAAATTGCTACAAACTGTTTCCCATAACTTGGTTTTTAGTAACTGCTGTACCTACACCTACCTTCCAATAATTCTGAAATACTTTAAATTGCACTGAGAGAAAACAAAAAGTCTCAACTTTTCAGGTGAACACTGCAGCTATAGTCAAGAGTAGAAAGTACTCTTCCCTAACATCCCTTGTATGCACCACACACAGCTACCTATGCTGTATTATTCATGATACAAAGACTTAGAGACTCAAGTTTGTTATTTCCTTCCCTGTTTCACTAAACCAATCCTAAAAATCAAATAAAGAATATAGTTTCTTCAGCTACTCTAAAAGACTACATCGTTACATGCTTCAACAATAAAGTACTTTATAATACCTTTACTTTTCAACTATCTTTGAAATATTCTTCCAAACACTTTCTAAACATAGTTTCAGTCTATAAACACAGATTAACCAACTTCATTACTTAAGAAAATATATAGCATGTAGTAGTTCATATACATTTATTTTTCATGTGCATAGAAACATATGTAGATACACATACACATATCTATCTGTATATATACAGATAGATATGCTTGTGCTCATATTTAACACGCTACATTCTCAAATGCATGCAGCAATTATTCAAATTTTGATTTCTAAGATTCAATGATAAACTAATATGCCATCAAGAAAGTATCTGCAACAGTATATTATACAATCAGCCTGGTCAGAGAAAACCACAGAATTTCAGGCCAAATGCAGGTATCTTTAGCATATGTAGTATATGCACATTAGTAGAAACACACTAGTGAGAGCAAACGAGACAGCAAAAGCCTAAGTCTAATTTTCCTTGCATTTCTAGCTGATATAAGACTGAAATAGTGTTTGAATTTTAGAATTTGAACTACTCTGAATTACTTTTGAGAAAAAGGGCATTTTGTGGGGTTTAGTTCAAATTTCACTATGGAAAATGCAGGTTCTGATCTGACTACAGTAGTTATTGAAATGTATTTTTAGCACATGTGGACCCTTCCTGAATCATGGTGGGGAATAATAAAAACATAATCTACATATCACAGAAGTTTTTTCATCTCATTTGGGTAGGAAGAAAGACTACAGAAAATCGTGTACTCTAACTAGGCCACTATAAGGAATCTTAAAATGCTGCTGCCTTAAGTGAACCAAAAGAATGCAATTTTCTTTAGCAATAAGGAACAGCTTCATTAACTCTGAACATACAGAGATACACATATCTGGCACTGATACAGAAAGTACATTTCAAAACTACTACAGGAGCAACACAGAAATCTGAACTTGCATTTTAGCAGGAGGGTTAAAGGATAAACATTTATAAATATCCAGAAAAAGAAGAAAAAGGGAAAGCTAAGAGGAATTAACAATATTTTGAAATCTTATTTTTGCTTCCATAAGTAGAAGGAAACAACCCTTCATGGAAATAAATATGCGCCAATCTTAACCCATGCTTCATGTAACTGTAAACAGAAAAAACCACCATATTCTTAAAATAAGATTTACATCAGCTTCTTACTCATTCTTCATATTGAGTATCTCTTACAGCATTGCATTTAAAATTGTATGACTTTCAAGTAGAAGAGATCCTAAATCATGCAATGAAATAAACAGAATGTGTTGGGTTCAATATTCTCTTCTCAAAAATGTCAGGCATACAAAATGATTGAAAAAATGCTATGCCATAACTTATTAGCATACTGCCAATGGCACACTATCTCAATCAGCAGCAACGTAGTTGTAGTAATTAATTAACTAATTAATTACTAACTTTATTATTTTGAATTCAGTGTTTTTACAGAGTTCCATTATCGGTATTTTGAAGAGGACTCATTTAATCTGTTAAGAGAAATACAAATTTGAAAATACCATATGAGAACCCAAAGCCAGTCAAAAACACACAACATTGAAGTTGAAATTTCATATATAGTCTCTACTAGTACTAAGCTCTTAGATAAACTGAGGTATCAGTTGTTTCAATACTTAGCAAGAAAACAACACTGCTTTACACACTGTACTGTTTGATTCTGCGGTACCAACACATTCCTTTAAATAATAAAAAAAGAGTATAATTTTTGTGTAAGAGCGACGTTACTCTTAGGACCTTTACACACCTCCGTCTCTCCCTGACCTCTGATGTTGAGGACACAGTGCCAGAAGTAGCTGTAGTCATGGCTGTGGTAGTGGCTGCAGCATTTACAACAGATGGTGCAACAGGAACGGTCACTGCTGTAGGAACACTGTCCTTTTCTTTCTCAGTACTATCCTCAGCCCACAAACGATTTGAGGTACTACAGCATAACAAGCAGCAACACAAAAAAAGAGAAAAGGAAACAGCTAAACAATGAAAGCACTTTACTAAACAACTAATAACATGTAAATTGAGGGATGGATTTTTTTTAAGAAGCAAACTGAGAAATGTCTCTACTATGAAAGCTCAGCTTGAGCTATTAAATTGAATAAATTAAGAATCAGCAGTTTACAATAATTGAACTTTTATTCTTCAGACCCTTCTAACATTTGATTTATTCTTTTGTGCCAACATGGTTTTCTTGTTACAGTAGAAAGCCATTCACAATTTTTGAGCCAAATTGTATAAAATCAAAACAAATTTAACAAGAAAGTGAAAAAATCCAGAGCCCCAGGATCTACTAAACAAGAACGCATGCACATACATAAGCACACAGTAGACCTGACAAAAAAAATAAAGGAAGAAAATGTCCCGGTGCCATTACCTGCTTTGTACACCTGCTGAAGTAGAACCCGTTGTACTCTTTGTAGTAGCGTTTGTGCTGGCAGGCAGCGTTTTCTGAAGACCAGCAGAAGAGGTAACCGTTGATGCAGTACTTGGAACATTAGAACTTATCAAATCATCTTGTCTTCTACCAAAGGAGCCACTGCAGGAGAGACATGTACAATGGTTGCATTTATTACTTATATTTACTCATTAAAATATCACCAAGCTGCGAATGCTCTATTGAATTTCTACCCATGTATTCTGTGCCTCAGTTAAGTCTTGGAAACTTCTGGTGCAAAAGATGTGTTTTTTTCATTGTTTCCTTGGCTAGGACTTTTAATTTATGACTTTGGAGGGCAGCAGAAGCGTCCCTTAGTCCCGACCATTTCTTTACCAAAGAGGATAAAGAATGGAATATCACTCGTTTATGTAAGAATGTCTTGATCACATCTACTAAAGTATTCATATAGGGCCCCCAATGTCCCATTTTTAAACTGCTGTTTCACCCACACTGAATACCTCAGAAAATGCAGAACCTTACTGAACAGCTTGTCAGGAAAGAAAATGTCATCAATATCATTCCTCTTATAATTTGAAAGCAATTAAATACACTGCCCCATTTTAAAAAAATCTTTAATCATTCCCAGGAAGAATAACCTCCCACTCAGTTTTTTGCCTTGCTCTTCAAGCTATAAAGCAGACCAGTGGTTTCCAAGAAATAAATATGCATTATGCTGTATTAGACAGCCTGGTTACTGATAATATCAATGTCAAGACTCAAAATAATGCTAAATATGTGTACCAATATGCAGCTTAGTTATTAGACTCTTTCCTTTGATCTATTAATTTAAGCTATTTATTGCCCCGCTAATTACAAGGAAGAATTTGATTCAAATAGCTACATTGAACCTATACAATGCAACAAAGTTAATCATGTATATATGTGCAGTATATGATTCCTCCTGAGAAAATTCTGCAAGTTAGGAACTGGCACACCTGAGACCTACTCTCATATTTTCATAATTTACTTTGCATTCAAGTGAATTTTATGTATTCTATTATGCTGATACTCAACATAGGCATGGCTATAATTTACAATTAAAGACAGCAGTCCCATACCTCAAGACTGTCATGAAATAACCAGAATTCAAGAGATAGTGTTTTCCCCCTTTTCATATACCAAGCAGAATTATTTCTATTGCAACATTTAAAATAATTATCTTTGACTACTGAACTCATCTGGAAAGAGTCAAATGAACCCCAAACTGAAATAAACAATAGGAAAAAGAAAGCATCTAACTTTAATTACATAGTTCAAAATCAGCACAACCACTGCATCAGCATACAACTGCATGTTTAAAACCAGCACAACTATTGCAATATATACTTTGCAATTATTATGAACATGGCAATTTGTCAGCATTCAATTTTATACTGTCCTTACAAAATGATTCAGTACTTGTTAACTTTTAAGCCTATTTTGATTTAAAAATTAAAAAAAGAAAAAAAGAAAATCCCACACCTTCTTTGATAACTTGTGTTTAATGATGTAGGACCTTCATTCAAACTGTTTTTCTTGACATCTTCTTCCCATTTTCTCCTGGTGTAGGAACTGCCACCACGTATTGAACTAGCAGATGAATCCCTGTAAAAGATTTTGGGTTAGCAAACTCATATTAAAGAAGGCTGTTCTTGATGTGAGCTTTGAATTAAAATCCTGGATAACACACTTAAAATAAACATAACTGAATAAGGAATAAAATTGCATTTATGGACAATCATTTTAAAGCCTCTGTGGAAAGATACTACATTCATGCTAACACAATTAGAAACATAAAAAGAAAGCAGCATCAAAAGAAAACTGCTAAAGAGGATTTAATCAACATGAAATCAATTGTTGGCTTTTATCTGTGGTCATTGCTGGCTTTTTCTCAAAAAAGCAACAAGATGTTTTTCTGTTTGCTCCTGAGATTATCCAATCTACTTGGGGTTTTTAATAGCTGATTTGATGGAATTTTTCATTCTTTGATGTTATAAGAAGTTTAAAAGCTGAGAAGCCTTTAGAACTCATGATACTGTAAGACCAGCATAACTAGGCTTGCAGTAGCCATTCCTGAGGGGTCTGACATGTATCACTAGCTGACATGACTTCAGCCATAAGGAATTTCCAGACTGCTGTTGCAATTTATAGAAGCAAGGAATAACCTTGCAAAAATCTGCTTATAAAAACTATCCCTAAAACTGACACGCAAAAACTGAATTTCTAATACAAATGTCAGCTCAAGATCTGAAGTTCAGCCAGTAGGAAGAATAAAACATGTCTTCCACAAAATTATATATAAGACAATCAGGTGTACAAGGCAAAATAAAATAAAACTTCGAAAAGATATATTTTTATGTTCAGATTCCTTTGGCCATCATAAAGTACCTCTTTTTGCATGAAAATGTACGTTGGCACTTCTGCAGCTGGAAACATTAGAAAATGGTAAAACATAGACCATAAAATGTAGTGCTGTTTTTACCAGCTGAGAGAAACACAAATTCTGAGATATCATCTACCACAGAAAGGTCCTGCTGCATGACAATTTCTCATAAACTCAAGGTTTCACTTTGCCAAGACACTACAGTACTTTTGCTGTAGCACTGGCTACTCAACTGAGGCTGGATGTCTGAGATTTGTTAGTCAAAAAGCCCAGCTGGGATTCATCTTGAAGTCACTTCCATCACTCACACAGGATGTTAGCTAGGATTATGCTACAGCACTGATTCACAAGGCAAGTAGGTGTTATGTAGAACAAGAACAGGGCATTAAGCTAAGCAACAAGGACAAAAACCTTTGACAAAGGCAGAGACCCTAATAATTTATTAAGGTACCTGTGGGGCAGATGGTTAAATTCTTCATGCAAACAAGGTCAGAATAAATGTCAAAAACCTCTTATGGCTTTAGGTAGGCTGGATTGTCTGCCATATCATACAGTAGGCAAAGTATTGGTGTCTAAAAGTAGGCTTCATCTCTGGTACAACAAGGTGTACAGGAAGTTCTCACAAGATCAGTTATACTGATGAGCACTAAGACTAACAAGACTGGTGACTGCAGTTAATCCCATGCCTATGAGAAAAATTATACTATTGCTGATAACCACTTTTAGAACTGTGTCTGTGAATAAATCAAGACTGGCACATCAAGGACACAAACAGACTTCAACACTTAAGAAAGACTTAATATCTTTGTTGCAAGCAATAACAGCTTCTAAGGAATAAAACTGAATGAAATATTTATTCCAATCTTAAGGTATCATCTAGTTATGAAACAATAATAATATCTCTATAAACAAACCGAAACGGACAAATTCGGTCTCAAAGAATATAGTAGTCGAGATATGATAGCACAAACAGAAACTCAAAATTTCTCTCTTACAGAAACACAGATTAAAAACTATCTGGCCATGTAAAATGAGAAATGCTAACAAATTACACTGAACTTTAGGGAAGTGTGAGATCTGAAATAGCCCTGAAATATCTGAAATTCTGTTTTGAAACAGAATTTGTCACCTAGAGACTAAACTTAAGCAACTTCCTGCAAGCGTGAGAAAAAAATAATATTTATCTTGTGTTTGCATTGAAACAAACAGTTCTCAAGAACAGCAACAAAGACATTCCTCTTCAGGTATAAAGAGACTATCAGTCTCACAGACAAGGATTACAACAGCACATATTGAGCAATCAAAAGACTTTCATGGATGACAGTTCAGGTCATCCAGCATTCATCTGTCTAGATATGATCCAACCAAAACCAAGGCATTATGGAGACCTCTACATTTTGTACTATGCATTCTACAGTAACTGCAGAAAACATCCCTGTAGAACCTCAGTAAAGAAGTGAAAAATAGGAAGGTTCTGACTGTGTAAATATGCTATGAAGGTACCCCAAATCCTAACAGGTATCAAGCCTATTCACCTATTTGTTTCTTTTATTCTGAAAGCTACAGAAGCAATAGCAGCAAATAAAATAAAAATCTCCAAAAGTTAATGAAAGGTCAACATGTAAACAGGAAAAGCTTATCTAACCTATGATTCCTGTACTGCTGCTGCACAATATCATTTTTAGTAAAGTCCATAATAAACACACATTTTATCAAAGTAATAATGTAGCCCAGTAGCAGCACTTTGTCACTCAAGACAAAGCAGTAAAATTTTAGCACCCTTCAGTAGCTTAAAAGTTTAGGACTTCATATTTTGGATTTTATTTATTTTCTTTCTCAAGAAGACAACACTCTTCACTGAGTTCTGCTCTTGTCTTAGAATAATTTGGACTCTAGAAAAGCTCATTATAATCTACAAGATCAAAAACCTTCAGGAAGTGGACTGCCATATGAATTAGCATAAGCTGAACAGCCAGATAGTGCTATAAATTAGCCCTGTTTTTAAACATGTAACTTTGTCAGTCACTTTAAAATCTTATTTAAATTTTATATTAAAAAAATATATAACTTCAGAGTCACCTGTTTTCTTTTTCATCAATGTCAGAGGTACTGGCCAGCCGTCTTGGTATTGTAGGTGCAACATATGCAAGTCGAGTTCCTTTTCCATCTTTCTCCTGAAAGACATCAGTTTTTTGTTAATTGTTACTATTATTAATTATCTTGTCTGGAAAATCATCATTATGCCAACTCCAGCCATATTTATTGTGACCTGATTACACAAGTGAGTTTTAAGCTTTAGTTAAATATCATAAAAGACCACAACAGGAAAAGGAAACTGTGAATGTTTCCATTCTAGTGATGATAATGACTTATTTCTCTTTTTCCTGCTTTGCTGAAATACAATTCCAAAAGTGATTCCTGAAAGCAACTGGTTCAATATTTTTATATAATACAGTACGTTATCATTCTTAATATTTAAATTGTATAAAAATTTGTATTTCATTCTATGTAACCACAGGTTCTATTTTGTTCAGCTACCTGAACACTTGGTTTAGTTTAGCCATAGGTTACAGAACCAATTTTCGAAAATAAAAAATCACTACAAAATGAAAATGAATACAAAAGAGACTTCTATAATTTAGAAGATTCTTTTAGCATCACTCTCCAAGTGATGCAAAAGCTATTAAATCTCTGATGTCCTCAAACTGTAAAAATGACTACTACCTTTGCAAGTCCTAAAAAAGAATTAAATGCCAACATTTAATTATTACCAGACACTGAATAATTACCAGACACTGAAGGAGTATATTACACTTTGAGAGATACTACAAAGAAGCTCTGTAATTTTACAGTAATAGTAAAGAACAGATGTGTACTACAATCTGACTTCTATAATACATCATTAACGTCTACACTAAGAAATGTATATGAATTCCTCAAAATATTGTTTCATCCTGTAAATTATTACCTTTTCTTTGTTGTCCAGTGAAGAGGAAAGTCTAGGACTTGATGCAGAACGCATAACACCTGCAGAGTCCTTTTCTTTCTGAGCTTCTTTAGAAGCAGTAATCTCTGCAAGTGCACCATAACTACCAGTTTTTCTAAGACCCAACCTCCATGAAGCAGGAGATTCATCTTTCCTCTCTTCATCTTTGGGAGAAACCTTGGTTGTAGATGTTGGAAACTATAAAACACATGAAAATGAATTTACTTTATTAACTTACACTATCCGTGGTAATTCATGCTCTTTGCAAAGATTTGAGAACTTGTTTTTAATAATCGTAAGTGCTGAACTCATAGGGAAGTTGTAGTGAGAGGCAACCTATGCACTTTTCTCTTGAATTAGTCAATGAGATCAGAAATGTAAGACTGGTCAAGGAATACCACTGCTATAAAGTTAGCTTACAAAAACCCACACTTTGTAATACACGCTGTGAACTTGAGATAATAACTTAGAAACATGCAAATCCGGTATTAACATTTTGATTAAATATGTTATTTTGCAACCTGTACATAAACCTGTGCACACAAGAACCTCACCATAGATTTTTCACCCTTATTGGGCACAAGAACAATGCCAGTTTTGCGCAAGCCCTGCCTCCATGATGCAGGATCTACTGACTCCACGACAGGCATGATAGGAGGAATGAAATCATACTAAAGCCAATTAAGACAAGACAAAGATGAAGATTGAAAGAAGGAAAATAGAAACAAAAGGTTGTTTTAACACCCTACAGTTTGTTCCTAGGTTTGCAATAAGTAACTCTTCATTACAACACAAAATACCAAAAAAGCAGTAAGACACTTAAAGCCTTAGTAACAGATTACAACCAAACGTAACACAGCATGTTTAGCTCATTCAGAGACAGTATTACAGCTTGCATAGAAAAGAACAACAAAGCCTTTGACCTTACAAGTTCCATGGCCTAAATCCTGACACTGTTGATAATAATGGAAGATTCACACTAACATACATACCCCTTATCTACTTACCATGGATCATTCACATCCCTCAATCACATCCCATGCTAGTGTAGCTATCCCTCCCAAACTTGCCTTACCTTCAGTACCCGCAGCCAGAGAGCAGCATTACTGAAAGCAGTGCAGACTGAAGGAAACCTGACTTCTAGCTTAGAATACTGCATCTGCACCCCTTGGTTTTGCCATCTATGATGTAAAAGCAGAAGTGCAGCTACAGCTGATCACATGCTGCACACCTAAAAAGGCAGGTGCAAGCATAGGTCCAAGATCACGCACAGAGTGCTCCTTTACCTTTACTAGTAAAAACAGTTTAAAGCATTTTTGTTTACTGATAGAAGCTGTAACTGCTCCTTTAGATCACAGCTACCTGCTATGTTACAAAATAATAATTTTGATATAATGTGCATTTATTTTGTAGCTAAGAAGGCCCTGAGCTTTTTATAATAATAGGAAAATAACTACACTTTTAGCCTGCACTTTTTACCTAGAAGACCGAAATATAAAACATTAATTTCTGCATAACAAAATTAGAAGTGTATTGATGATTTGTAAAAGGTTGTAATTTAGCTTAAAATCAAGCTGATTTCCTCTCTTATGAAAATATACCCCCATATCATTAAATCTGATCAATTAAATTAAATTAAACCTGCACCCATTACATTAAAGTATGCTTTGTAAGATGAATCACTATTAGATTATACTGTGAATGTGGAAGTCTAACCCCAGTAAGCTCCCAGGAGCAAAATACACTTTATACTATTCTCCTAGTACTTTGTCTTTTCTCTCTACTGTGGCTGCAATTTATCACGGTTACCATTTCTCCTGAACATGCTTTTCAGATGCATCAGTAGATGGTTACATTTTGATGATGATGTATATAGAAAAGCTGTAATGAATGACAAATGAAGATTTACTGGCTTACTATCCAGTTTGCTCTGATATTCTACAAGTCTGGCTACTCATTATCTACTGTAATTTTTTTCCCCAAGCATATCCATCTTGCCAAGTAAAACTAAAGTTCATCCAAATTAACTTTTCCTGTAAAGTTACAAGCTGTAAAAGCTTCCAGCATGCAATATGGCTTTCCTAGGTGTGGATTTGAGCTGTGCATTGAATAAATCATATGTCCCTATTATTTAGCTCTTCCATGAGGTCTTAACCATATTAAAACAGGGATGAGACCCACATAACTTTCTGCTTTTTTTTTCAGGTATCATTTCTGATTTCTATGCCAAAGCACTAGCTGAATGTTTCAAGGGACTCCTGAAAGTCACATAGTCATGCCTTGCCTCCCTTGAATTAAGTGCATCAGAAATACAGGCACAGAGAGACACTAGAACTGTAGCTTCTAGAAATTCTGGAGGAGTCTGACATAGAAAAGACTTTCAAAAGACGAAGTTTAGCTTCAGAAAAAACAAGAACTCCACACACTGTGCAACAGAATTTTTCTTTTTTTAGAAGGATTTTAGATTCAGCTATTTCATAGTTCTGTATTTTAGGTCCCTGTTCAGAATTAAAGCCATTGAAAATTTTTTAAAAAATTAACAGTTTCTGGGGAAGATCAGAAAGTATTTTAAGAATCTATGCATATTTTTATCAATTCACCAGTTAACCAAATCTACTAACAGTAGAATCAAAAAAAAAAAAAAATTACATGGAAAAAAAGAAATAGAAAACCATAAGAATACCGTATCATAGAAAATAAAAAGGTATTTTCTTTTACCTTCTTAACAGGTGATGTAGGTGCCCCTTGGCCACCAGCTACTGAAGGCGCCATCACAGCTACTGATGCTGATTGTGTACTTGTGGTATTTGCATTATTAGCTGCCAAGGTTTTGGTCTTATCTGCAAAATATTTACAAGATTTTAATCTTCATTTTTCATTCACAATTTCATTACCTTTACAACACCAAGCTGAATTTCTATCCAACAAATTTGACAGTTAACTTTATGACCAGTATTTTACTATTTATTCCTCAGTGTTCTCTCCCTTACTCAAAATTTATATCTTAGCTAGGTCCATCTTCTTTTTCTAAAAGGTTGTGCATGTAACAATTTTTTTGTATTGACCAAGTGTTACCACTTAGAGATCCAGAGACAGAACTACAGAACTATTCAGGTTCCAAGTGACTCAGGAGATCACCTAATTGAACCTTCTGCTCAAAGGAGGGTCAATACTGCCAATGAATCAGGTTGCTCAGGCTTTGATGAGTCACATCTTGGAAACCTCTGGAGACAGATTTCAGTCTCCCCACATAGCCTGTATTTTAGTAGCTGGCTAATGACTACAAAAACTGTAACAGTAGAAGATATGTTAACATCTCATCTGATCTCATCAATGCATATAAATATCTCAAAGGCAGGTGTTGAGGATGGTGCCATACTCTTTTTGATGGTGTCCAGCAACAGGAGAAGGAGCAATATCATAAACTAAAATACAGGAAGTTCCACCTCAACATGAGGAAGAACACCGAGGGTGGCAGAGCACTGGACGAGGCCACCCAGAGAGGTTGTGGAATCTCCCTCTCTGGAGACATTCAAAACCCACCTGGATGCTTTTGCATGTAACCTGCTTTAGGTCACCCTGCCTTGGCAGGGGAAGTTGGACTTGATGATTTCCAGAGCTCCCTTCCTACCCTGACTATCTTTTGATTCTGTAATAGTTAATTCAAATTACAGAAGGCAGGTGCCAATTCAAAGTGAAACATTTATTCTCCGATAACTATGCGTGTTTGAGTTCAAAGAAATATTTAACTGTGCAGAGAACTCCATGAGGAATTCTAGTCACCAGAATGAGCTGTGGCAGGGACTTGCCCTTCCAGAACATCAATTTTCCATTTGCTTCATTACTTCTTTGTCCCTTGTTTTTCTTATCTACATTTCACTGTCTACCTATCTACTCTCTCCTGCTTTGTTCAAATTCTTTCCTCTGTCCACGTTTATGAACCTCAACCCTTCTTACACAAATACACAGAAAATGCCATGATTGATATACAACTGCTGTCACTGCTTTTGCTTGAGCTTCATAATGTTACACCTTGCTTCTGTTTCACATATTCAGACTGCACATTCTTTGGGCTTAGATGTTGCCTCCTATTTATTAGTGCAGTATGAAGCAACAAGGGGTTCAATCCCTACTGGTTTTGGTCCTACTGTAAATACATCTTTCCATCTACGTGACCCATACAGCCTAGAAGTAATTAAATTAGAAAGTATGCAAGGATTTCATGAAGTGCTCTCACAACTAACATTTGAATTCAACAAAGTACTAATCTACAATTAGAAATTGTGTAATCCATGATATTGCTATTACACACTTGTTTTAGTTATGGACATAGCTGAATAGGTGTTTTGAATGTTAGTTACGCAGTAAACAAATACAAATATAAACAGCTGACATGACCAATGGCACTTAATAAAAAGTTCTTTTTAAACACAAGTGAAAAAAAGTGGTGGTAAAATTCTTGGTGATAAAAAGCTGAACAAGGCAATGTGGGACTGACAGTATGATTTGAGACGATGCACAGGCAGATCTGATAGAAATTTTTAGGTAATACATCTTTAAAATATACAGAAAAAGTTATCAGGAGGGAGAAGAATGGATTTTTTCACAACTGTATTCTTAAATTATTTCTAGAACTATAAGAACATAGTTGTATGCATGACTGAGCTGATACTAATTAAAAAAATAAGTATGTCCAAAAAAGTAAATTACAAAACCTGAACTGATGAAAAATTTATTTTTTATCTTGTTTCCCTGTCCTTTGCAAGAAGCTACTTTCATATTCATATTTCCTTTCTTGGTCTTACAGACAGAAGTGTATTTATTTTTAACCTATATTCGCACATAACCAATGAAACAAAAATATAGGACAACATTTTAATTATCCTAAAATATTAGAAATCACCATTTTCAGTGCTTCAGAATACTGAACAGCATTAAAATATTTCACAACCAGAATGCTCCTTATAATAATAGGATTTTTCACTAGAAAAATCTTTCACTACCTTAAGCTGAATAATGGTAAAAAAAGGGAAAGTAAAATCTTGGAACTTAAAAGAGATGTATCTCTACAGGGAAAAGCTTAAAGTGTATCTTGCCAAATAAAGTATGATAAAGCCTTGTTGATATTAAAACCCCCAAAGTTTACATAAATTAATTCTTGTGTCATAGTCAAATTTTCCTGGCACAAACTACTGGCAATGAAGAGAACACAGTTACCAGAGTCATAAAGTTCAGCAGACATTACAGTCAGCTCAGAGACAGAGAAATTACTACATGTTATATATTATAAGTAGTTTGAGTTTAGCGAAGCTCAGTAAATAATGGATGCAAGTACTCTAAGGTAAAAGACTAATGACAAAGATTGCCAGACACTTTTTTTTAGCATAACACTGAAATGCTGGATTGTTTCAAACTACAAAAAAAAACCCCAACAAATTAAACCATAATAGAACGTTTGGTTTTGTAAGTTATTTTTACTACTATCTACATTAAATGCTTATGATAGATTGGCTAGCTTTAAAATACTTTCATAGTCTTATCTTTCCAGGTGAAGAAATTAGAATCTATTAAAATGAAAACTGACAGCTCACCAAAAAGTGTTACTTATTTTAAAAAGTTTAAGTACAAAATACTAACAAGATATTTCTAATGTCATCCATATCTATGTGTTGTACTGCTGCACTGCAATTCTAATATTCTTTACTAGGATTGAACATGCATCTTTAAACACTTATTGCAAGACACTTGTTTTCTGGTTTGAAAGGAAAAGATAATATGATGTTCTTGTACTTCTCGGTACTTGCTACTCTGATAATTGTTCAAGAAAAAAACAACCCACTAATTCCATTTCTCAAGAGAGAAATAGAGAGTAATATGCATACAACTTTGCATACAACACAAAACTTTTCAAAGAATAAGTCTCTTGAACTTAAGTTACATATGAAGCAACAGTTATTATTAAAATAATACCTTTAAAAGTTTATCCCAGTACACACAGAAAATATATGCATGACTACTTAATGAATAGCTGAACCACATTAATTAGTAATTACTTCAAGATGATAAGAACAAATGAGAATGTCTGCAATTTTGCTGATCCAATCTCTATACCAGTTGCACAAGCAAATACTGCTAAGGAGTCTTCCTCTCTCATTTGATCTTCTAACTTTTTCAATGTTTCTGACATGCTACTTCAGGCTTATATTATTTTATCTATCTAATTAAAAGCATCAATTTGTTAAGCAGCCAATCAAGTAAGCCGGTTAATAGTTTTAACCTAAGTAGCTAAAGAGAGCCATTTGATATGTCTGTTATGACTTGACTTTAGACATATATAAACTTACTTTAAAATAACAGGAGACAGTGAAATACAGAAAAATAAGTGAAATGTAACATACTTAACTCTGTATCGTGTGATATTAAATAAGTAAATTTATAAAGTAAATATTTAATGAAAGGCAATGCTCCAAATAACATACCTGCCTCTGCTTCAGATTCTGAGTCATCATCCTCTTCCTCCTCACTAGAACAACTGGACTCATCCTTCTTTCCTTCTTCTTCTTCATCTGCCTTCTCTTGCTCCAGGGACTCTATGCTAGATGCATTCTTTTCTTGCTCCATAATCAGTGTCTCCTTACTGAGTTTGAAAAGAGAAGTATTTATTAAGTACTGAAGAGTTTACTAAAGCCTGTTAAGTAGGACTTTGTGACAGCTTGTAAAGTCATCTTTTTAAAGACTTCATAATTTTTCCTATTTTTACTTACTTTTTAAATGTTTTCTGTGTCTGATTATTATCCATGTTGGCTGTGGATTCAATTAGGGGAGACTTCTTTTCACGTTTTTCACTATGAAGCTTCAAAACACAGAATGGTGCAGTTTAATTGTTAGAATGCCAGCAGTATGACAAAATTACAAATGGAGAGGTATCTCTAAATATTACAAACACTAGAATGTGTATAAACTTTCGAAGTATGAATGTTGAAATCCCTAAAAATCTTAGAAACTGTTATTCCAAGTAAGATGCTCATTGTTGATACTTCAGATCATAAAATACCCACTGGACAAGACAAGTCGTAGATCGCCTTTTTTCTTCAAGGCTTTTTTGGTCACCATAGGTGACCAAGTAAGGGCATAAAAAACCTTTTGAGATGACTGTGGCATCACCTGAATCGATGCCCTCAATTTAAAATTTGTTTTTAATCTATATGCTGCCCTGAGTTGGATACCATAATCATATGTACAATAAAATGTAACATATATATGTATGTATGCATGTACGTACATATGTGTGTGTACGTGTGTGTGTATATATATATATATATATATGTATATGAACAAGGCCTACCAGATTCTGCTTCTTTTGTAACTCTTCTAAATATCCTAGAATATCTTCATCTGCCACATCAAATGCTGTCTGACCCTGGAGAAGAAGTAAAACACCATAATCGTACAACAGAATTTAAATGTATCAGACTACGATGTCTTCTCATCACATGATGATGAAGGTTAAGCAGAACATTTAGAGAGACAATTTGGAAAATATGAATCAAGCTCTACTGCAAACTGTTAGTCTGTCAGTACTTGAAAACAATTTTGCAATATTCTTTTTTTTTGGGGGGGTGGGGGGGGCAGGGGGGATTCAAACAAAAATATTTATACTTGATGAGTAAACACATTTTTAAGTGATAAAGATATGACAATAAAATTTTACTGTTGTTTGAGGGAAAAAAAGAACACTATGAATGAAAAGTAGATTGATGAATATAATCTCACAGTATTAGTGCCAAATAACTGTTCACAATGGAAGCTGAATGGATGGATCCTGAGCAGTTCAGTATCCTGCCCATCTCAGACTATCACATATCGCTTAATTTTTTAAGTTTAAATTATTTAAGGGAGTTAATGATAACAAATTTAAGTAGTCACACATTCACATTTTACAGCAAAACTATTTACAGTTCACGCTTTACTTTATAGAAGATCTGCTATGACCACTTGTTATTTCTCCTTAGTGTATGATTTCCATGGGACATATACTTGAAGGCTGGAATCTAGGCAAAGTCCCATATTCACTGGCATAAATGCAGCTGCATCAACATGCTGGGTAGACTTACTGAGATGCTGGGAGATCATGACAAGATCAAACTAGAAGCACTTCTATACAATAACCAGTAAAAAAAACAGAGCTGTCATTTAAAAGTGGCCACAGCAGCTTATAAAAATAATGAAAGGTGTTCTTGTTTGTCTGTGCTGATTTCAGTTTCTCAAAACTAAAGGCACACTTCCTCCTAATTACACTGAGAAGACTTGTAACTGGTTAGAAAGGATGAACCTTTAAACTGCTAATTCTGATCATACAGCAGAAGCATGTGCACCTTTTAACAAGCATTAGCCAAAACAACTTGAGGTCTTCTGCCATATGAACTATTACCACAAGCTTCTATTTGCATTATAACTACAGTTTTTAATGTGGCCTTCTATTTTTAGGTAGCCATTACATGGTAATTAGATCCACTATAACCACAAAAAGTCACTTTGCAGAAAACTGTAGCAGCTGGAAGGTTACATCTTAAACCCAAATCTGCAACAGTTGATACCTGAAGTCAGGTGGCCGAGTTCTCTGAGATGCTAAGCACATACAACCGAAACCAAATCCAGAGGTTTCAATCCCTCTCCAAAAGCAAAAATGCTTACTAGCTTACTTAAAAACATGCAAGACTTTCCTAGCTTGCAGAGACAAGTCCATATACCAAAAAAAGACCCCACTGACATCTCTCTATGCCTCCTTTTTTCTTATTCTCATCCAGTGGACTTGAATATATGGTTATGGGAGTGTTCTCTAGTGTATTTATGTATGTATACACATTTTCACAACCCCAGTAAAAAATCTAACATAAATTGGAAGCTGAACAGAGTCTATCTGTAAAACACACTATGAGGAAAAGAATGAGAGCTCAGCACTTACATGGCTGAATGAAAAGGTCTGGATCCTTTTGATGGTTATGTGAACTCATGAACATATTTGTGTCTATTGGGAACAAGATCAGCAAGCTACACAGGCCATTGCATAAAAGCCAAAGAAATATTGCTTAGGAAGCATTCAGGTTATGTCCAGGGGGTCCAGAGTTACCTACAAGTTTCTTCCAAAATACCCAAATCAGCATAATATAGTGACAACTCTTTAATATACTAACACAAACTGATTTTAGGAGTTAAAACACTACCCAAAGGCATCATCATCATCTTGAGAGATCAAACGAAAGCTTGAATGCAATCCATCAAGCCACTAATTTTGTACCTCTGAAATGCCAACAAACTCTTTCAATTGTGAATTTCCATGTCAAAGATTGAATGGATCATTTAATAAAAGAACAAAGCATAAAGTTGGCCTAGAAATTAATTTAGACAATCAGAGAATTTAGTGCTGAACACAACCATGCTGGTTTGACAACACATGCATTATATAAAGCTCCACGTACAGTAAACAGCAGTTTATCATCACTTTTCTTACCCTGGCTTCTAAAGTCACTTTAGAGACCAGAACTTTGTATCTTGACAAGGATTACATAAAAATCCTACCACTTTGTTGACAGCCTCCATATCACATAGGTTTTCCACTAAAATGCGACATGCTTCTTCTTTACCCCAGTGAGCAGCAGCATGAAGTGGTGTCCAGCCATCATAATCTTTAATATTTACATCGTAGTGAGCCTGTATTAAAAGCCTGAAAAAATTAAAAGAAATTGATCTTGACACTGCCAACAGGGATAAATAAGTTTTAGTAAAAATTATGAAACTGCTCTATGGTGATATCTTCCTCCTTTTTTCTCATAGATATTTTAGTTGGGCTACTGACAGTTGATTAATTCTGCTTCTCATAGAAACACCTGCCTTTTCATTGTTTAGCAGGTGTGTATATATATTTTAAGGAAAATTCAAGAAAAACAGCCTTTTCCATTTTCTTCTCTGTTCACTTCCTCTCCAAAGACCATTGTTTCTATAATTACATATTCTTCTCTGTACATGCAGAAATAGGCAAAAGGCCTATTTCTAAGGAACTAAAAAAAAACTAAGGAAAAAACTAAGTATAAATAAGGAAAAAAGTTGTAAGATACAAAAAATTGTTAGATACAGTGTTCTTATTAGTCTTACTAGTAAACTATTAAATCCCCCTTCCATTCTAAAATTAGCTGCTTGAAACTTTCATTTCCTGTCATTAACTTTTTGCAAAAATCTAGTGTTTATACGCTTCAACTGTTCTCTGAGAGGGAGCAGAGTTCCTCAAAGAGACGACCTGGTGTTCTGCCTGTATTCAGCACTCACATTCATCATGGGTTCTCAGGTGAGCATCAAAGTGACAAAGGATACTTAAACTAACAAGGGTTTTTATGTAAAGAGCTAAGAGCTGTCTGAACCACTGTCCATAATTGTTAAAAATCACATAAGAACAAAATATTATTTTAAAAAAAATCTGTTTCTCAAGAGCCAATATACTTACAGTAATATCCTCCAATGAGTCAACTTTCACACATGATCAGCTGCAAATCTTGCAGTCTTGCATCCAATACAGAGCACACATTTTTGATAATTTGAAGCAATCACAAAAATTGCCTGCACATATGTTTTGCCTCTCCTAGGAGAAGTATATACACTGGACTACAAAAAAGACAAAAACTGAGGGAGCTAAAAAACACCCAAACAGTTACAGATACAACTCCCTTACAGATACCTGCTACTCTAAAACAAAAATCACTCTTTTCCAACAGAATAATGTGCCTTCATCATGTTTGAGCATCAGGGTTTTTTTGAAACAGAACTCCCATTCAGTAAATTGCTCTGCAGACTTTAAAAGCACCGATACTCACAGTCAGGATGTGTGCTTATTTTCACTCATGTTACAGTTTGTAAGTGCTCCTAACACTGCTAAAGCAGTCAAATAAATTTACAATCATGTTAAAGACATGTATTACTAATTATGCTTTACTAGAATAAAAGAAGAACATTGATGAAAAAGAGATTAAATATGTTACAATATGTATTGATATAACATTAATGAAAAGTTGTGAATTAGGGGACACTTGAAGCCTAAAGTTTTCCAGGGAAGACATCAAGAGTCATGATTTTTTTAAAAATGAACACAAAATTAGATTATCTGGTTCGTAAGTGCAAAAATTTTTAGCCTGGATTACGAACTCTGCTTTACGTAGGGAAATAAATATGGTGTCCTGAAAACATGCACCAACCAGGATGTTAACTGGCATTATAAAAAGATCTTAAGCTTGTTTACATAGCTGGCTTTTAAAGCAGGGCAACTTTCCTCTCCTGAGTAATATTCAGGCTCAACATGTATACTGCTATTCGTATTTTGAATGACGTAGAATAGAAAGCCAACAACATCATGATTAATGAGTGCTTGAAAACATAAAATCAAGCTTTGAGAAGAGACTGTTCTAGAGAGACTGTGATTTTCAAGATACACTTCCTAAAAGTCAGAAGTGCCCAATTCCAAGCAGCATTACATCATGACAATAAAATATGAAAAAGTTAAACCACACTTACTTTAAGACTTCTGTGTACCCCTTAGCAGCAGCTACATGAAGTGCTGTACCACCAGATTTTGCATGCCTGACATCATTTATATGGCCACTGTTGAGCCACTGTCTTGCATCTCTTAGCATTATTCGTTCTTCTTCTTTTCGAGCTGATTCTATATCAACCCCTGATTCAGACAGGGAGGAGGAGAAGGGAAGAGAAGACACAAAATACTTTAGTTCAAATACTTCAATTCAATTATATAACAAATTTTATGCCATATTTATGTGATATAGGAAAATAAAAACTAAACAATCTGAATAATGTTCAGAGTTTGATATGAATATTTTTTGGAAGATGAATTCCAAGGTTATGAAAACATCCAGTTTTGTAAGACAGCTTGCATAATGCCTTTTTTAACAAAAGGAGGGGATGGGTAGAAAAAAGATTATAAATAAGTAATAATAAAAATCAGTCTATTAAAACTCTTCAAACTTATTCTTTTAAGAATGTCTGTCATCACCTAATAACCACTGAAGTGACCTGTTTAAAAAAAAAAGAGAAAAATTCTATTCATTTTCTAAGCACCAAAAGATAAGTCCATGTTGATGTATCTGTATACAATAGAAAATGGCTGAAGTTGTTTTATAAACAGATCCCTATGGGAAGAGAAACAATCTTGCTTCTTTACAATGATGACAAGATGAAGCTATATCTTTTACACTTGCTAAAGCATTTCTGGTTTGTCTCCTATCACTGTGAATCACAAACCTTATACACATATAGACAACACTTTGGATATTGCAGTTCATAGCTCTACTAAAAAACCACCAAAAACACTGAAAACTTTTTACAGTATGTCTCACTAAAAAAAAATAAATGATCATACACTGATGGAAAGGGAGAAACACAGTCTACCATCATAACACCTACAAGTATATGCATCAGGTTAAACAAATTCCAGACCCTGAATGGGTAATGCAAACACATTATTTGCAAGCATTTTTGTAATTACTACCTCAGAACATTGCAGAAAAAAAGATCTTGAAAAGAACTATGCAAGAGCATAATTCCCTCTATGATGTCTGAATGGTGACAACTCATAAGGAAAAACAACGTAGAAACTGTGATCATCAAGAACACAAATTGTATCTGGGATTTTCAAGATACATTTCCTAAAAGTCAGAAGTGCCCAATTCCAAGCAGCATTACATCATGACAATAAAATATGAAAAAGTTAAACCACACTTACTTTAAGACTTCTGTGTAGCCCTTAGCTCATAAGGAAAAACAACTTAGAAACTGTGATCACCAAGAATACAAATTGTATCTGGGTTGACTTCTATCAGAATATCAGTGGCCCAACCTTCAACAAAATGTTTTTATGTGTATGATTTCTCTAATCTTACACACTGGCATGCAGGGACTTGGGAGATATATATACTGTAAAACTTTATGCTAAAGACAATAAAAAAAATAAACTTCCTTAAGTACCATAAAGTAATTGAAGCAAGTTAAACAGTCAGTGTTCTGAGGACTTGACTGAATTCCTCGACTCATTCAATTAATTGACCAGCAAAACCATTTTAAACTTGACAATTTAGGCAAAAAACGAAAAGAATTACATTTTATCAGAAACTGACAAAAACCATAATCCAGATGTTTAGTCTCCAAGCTGCAGGAAGACATACAAGGCTGTTGAAAGGCTCAGCAGAGGAAAAAGCTGAAAAATTTTCTAAGTATAACATATGAAGAGTGAAGACCAAGAACTCTGAACCAGTAAGACATGGTTAGTCATATATTCTCATTCCTCAGGAAGCTCCTACATGTTGATATGTGAATTACTGCAAACTGTAACTTCACAGGCCTGAGCATCTGCTCTCCTTTCAGAACGACACAGCAGTGATCAGCAGATCCTGGGACACTACTCTAGAGTACAATCATTTATACGTCAGTGTTGCCTGCAAAACACTACTGTGTAAATAAATAGTGTATATTTGATTATCTCTTAGTCACATTTATGTCCATTCCCTTTTTGTATGCTCAAAGTCCAACAGTGAATCCTTATCAGCATGAGTAACCTTCTCCACCTGAAGAATCTGAAAAAATTCCTACCAGTGTAAAACTGTTCATGAACATAGCTGTTTGTTCTGAGGCACTTTTGTATAAAGGAAGAACAGAGAAAAAACTCATTCCACACCCTGATCTTGTGAGCTTCTAATGGGTCATATCTAAGCTTACTTTCCAGACAGGCCCAAAGAACCAGGTTATGTCAAAATAGTAATGCTTTTGCAGGAAAAATACTCAATACAGACTTCCATTAATATCATGAACTATTGCATTTCTGAAGCCCAAAAAAATATAATAGTTGCAGAGGTTTAATGGCTGTATCAATACATTATTTTACAAGACAGCAAATTTCTGGTCATATTTCAACAGAAGAAAGTACCAGAATCTTGCCAATCTAAATTAAACTCTTCACATTAATAACTCATGAAAATGGGAATTAAACTCTGTGTCACAGAAAAAAGCTGTACTCTGAGATAAATACAATTCCCATTATTAACTACAGAAAATGGAATGTAAACAGCCTTTGTTATACCTTGTATGGGGCTTTCTCTTTCCTTTTGTTTTCCAGATTCTACTAAGATACCAGGGGAAAAGAAAATGCTCATCATGTTTCCAACCCTTTCTCCCAACGGCCCATAGATGGCAATGCGCTGCCTCCCAGCTCAGCCTCAGCCACAGCCCTCGTTCACACCACCAGTATGCTTAACCCCTGGCAGCCTAACAACTTAAATCATTAATAATTTATTACAAAATGCTTTCACTTTTTTTCCTGATCAACAAGTGTTACTCAATAGCCTCAAACAGGTTTGAAAACAGTGCACTGTTCAGTGAGCATTTAATGAAAATTCAGCATAAATTTAAATGCTGAATCATTGTTTTAGGACAACTCAGCCATATAAAGGCATGTTTTATAGATACTGCAGAGAAGATCAACCCACTTTTTACTTCATGAAGTGAATGTTTATATACAAATGTAATAGTTCACATTTTATCCACATAAACAAATCTGAGTTAAGCAATACATCTGGGAGAGTCTTGTTACATTACCTATAATTAAGAATGAGGAACACGTGTTTCTCTTTGGAACAGGGTGAGTGACCACTCTGACAGTTACTGAATAAATAGCTACCATACTGAAACCCCTGATTCACCTCACATTACCTCTCCCCACTAACTCACCTCCTGAGAATATTTCCTATAATTCAAAATAGCTGCTCAAGCAGTTAAAAATAATTTTAAGAGGACATCTGATGATCAACAGCTAAAAAAATCACTTCAAACCATTATACTTAACCCCACTCAAGCCCTGAGGAGATACAACATTTAAAACTGGCCAGGGCTTGCCAGGACTAAAGCCACATCTCTTTCAAGACTGCTGGTTTTCACCAGTGCAAATAAAAACTTTACTGGAAAAAGACAACTTCCACAACTCCGTGTTGAAACACTGCCAAGTAGAAACACAGCAGGTCACACTGAGAAACTAAATAATATTTTTGATGAAGCTAAATGATTTTGAGGATTGCAGTAGCCTCTATATACACACAGGACTGACCAATGCAAAAGGTATTAGTCATGTGGAGAAATAATAAAACAAGTCCTAGAAGAAGGGTTTTTTATAGCACACAAAATAGTTTAACTATATGGAGTGCAAATAGAACAGCTGTTCAGCACTACTTAGGTATAATTTCCATAAAACACCTGATTTTGTTATCTGTGAAGTGTTTGTAATTGAGTCAAAAAAATCTTTATACCATATTCGAGCACAGAATTTACCTTCTCACAAATTACAAAACTAAGCTAGGTTTTATGCTTAAAAAATAACTAACTCAATAACTCCCCACTGAATATTAGGGTAGAAAAATATTTTGCTAACTATCAGAGTGGTACAGCTTCAGTTACAGGATAGCTACTCCCTTAGTTCATGATTCCTGCACAGTTCATTATATCAAGTCATGCTATTTGCTAAGCAGAACACAAGAGGACACATGAAAAGGCACCTGACTCTTGGTGCAATTTTAGAGATGTAGCATGTCAGGGATCTGAATGACTGAAGAAAAACAGACACTGGATAAAAATACTAGAAAATCTTTCTTCTTTAATGCCCAGCACTCCTTACAACAGAACTCGTATAACAAGATAACATCTCCTCTCTAGTCAGATCAGACCTTGGAGCCTGAATGCTAAAACAGGATGAGGAAACACTACAGATCCTTCCTTTTATCAAGCCTGTAATGTCACACAAAACTGAATTGTGTCCTATGATTTATTTTTATGCATTTAGTGTCTCTAGAGGGTCCCACATTTTGTCCTGTAATAAGACACGTCCTTAAAATGCAGCTTGACACCTGCCAAAAATTTGGCGTAACTACAAAATGATGATTAATAGAATGCTGAGTAGCTGAGTAGTATGTTTCGACACTTCCTATAAAGACATAAGGCCTGAAAAAGCAGTAAAAAAAGAGATGTAACAAGTGATTCTTCTCAGATACCTAACAGAAAAAAACATCAAATGTCATCACTTAAATCTGAAATCACAATGAACCTGACCAATCTTCCCAAGCAATTTTTTGGCACCAAACAATGCTGACTGACAATATGTAGGAAGCCAAATTTACAGCATTAACACTACAACACAAAAATGAAACTAAAATGAACGGAAGAATAAACACATGAAAGGGCTGCAAGGCAAAAATGTTATGGAAAATATCTACTTAATTTCCACACTGCACATTTTACCTACACAGAGATAGGATATTTCGTCACCCAGGATTGTTTATTTTCAAAATAAATAGGCTGGTCTTCCACTACCCTTAACACTGAGCCAGGACTGGTCATTCCACAGACCCCACTGTTAACTTGCATTATCAAAACTGTGGCACTGCTTTATTTGAAATGAAGGAGTATATAATATGGAAGAAATGTGAATTATCTCACTGCTGGAGAGCTACATAGCCAAAGATGAAAGTGTCACAATGCCTTGCTGTTAATTCCACGTTACGAGAAACAATTAGGTTCCTATTTTAGAGCTATTAACTTCTCTAGCCACAACACACACAATTAAGCACTTTCTAAGTGATTCTGATAATGACTAAATAATCCTTTTTTTTATGTAATATTAACACACATATTTATGTAGTATCTATATATTCAAGCTAAGGATGCCATCAAAGGAGCGTAATTAAAACCTTATTGCTGAGACAACTATCTCATGATTTAGTAAGACATGCACTCTAAGTTCACATCCAGATTCATATCCTTTCTATTCCATTCTCATCCACAATCACAGAATACTTCCTTTGATTTTATCTTTGCACACAAAAACCCTCAGTTCTTATGTCTTCGAACATAAATTTAGAAGGAGGTATATTGCATGCCTTCTTCCCTGCTTCCATGAAACAAGCAAGCAAACCAACTGCCATAAAAATGCAAGAGGAAGGAAAATAGGCTGTCCATACCAAGTGAAATTTAGTATTTCAGAACAACCTAAATTATTGCTTTAGAAGCTAATAGCTACAAGTGTGTAAACATACCTTCTTCTCAGACATAAGAAACTTATAAAGACAGCACCATACATGATTTACAGTAAGCTTCAATTGTGAAATACATAAACCTCACTGAAATTTTCAGTGCTGTGGCATTATGCTAATTTTACAATTGGGCTGTTCAAAATAATTTAATTGAACTTGCAAAGGACTAAAAATTACTGTGTAATGTTGAATATCTGCACCATAAAAATGTACGTAAAATCCCATATAACAAAATATTTCTTTTTAAAAAAGCAATAACATATGAAAGAGAGATTTTGGAAGAGTTCATTCCCCAAGTAATTCCAGTTTCATAAGAAGCTACTGCCGTCATTTAGTATTGCACATCAGTATAGCCAAGCATTTCAAGAACAACCATAAAAAAATCTAGGCTAAGGTGCATTCCAGAAGCAACTCTCAAGCAAAGACTGACAGTACTGTTAGAAAAGAGAACAACTAAGTAAATTAGGGAAATGGTAATACAGACAAAAAATATACACAATTGTCTAATCTGATGTTGTGTGTTAACTGTAAAAACTGCTAATCAAATTTCTGTTAACACTACCAATTAACTGATTCAAAGCCTTTGCAACTGTCAGCTCCTGTGTATCAGTAGGTGTCTCTTATTTCCCTGCAGATCATGTCTTCCAGTTTCTTTTTACCATTTCCTTTGGACATTAAATGGGTTTAAGCATATACATTAAAACTGGGCTAAGGCTGAAACAATTACTAGTTTACTGTTGAATTATATGCATTCTGTATCAACCAACTCTCTTTAGAAAATAAATTGACTTTAACAGCCACAATTTAGCCCAAGTTTTCATACTACATTTAGTGTCGATAAATACAACAACCTACTGTATTAAAAATTACCTTGTCTATTTACTTCATTCTGAAGCAGCTCTTCCATTGCCTCTTCTTCAGCAATATCTAATGGAGTGTCTCCTTCACTATTTACAGCTCCTACATGTGCTCCTTGACTAATTAAATACCTGCCAATAGACAAAGAAAAAAAGCCTGTAAATAACACAACAAAGCTGATTAAAAATAAATAAATAAAAAAATAGCAGCCACTAGGATATCATATGCACACATACAATTAACAGAAACATTTATATTGCATGTAAGTACAAACCCTTTTGACTGTCTGCAACCTATGAATACCCCTACGCCTTTTCATCCTAATGCCCAGTAATACAAATAGCCTTCTGGTCTTCAGTTTGCCACAAAGACTACTGACATACCTGGAAGAACTGAAAGAAGAAAATGGCTAGATAATGATCAAAAGTGATGACAAGGTGAACAGGGATGGAACCACCAATTCTCACGACCTCCTCTTACTCAGCCACTTTTCCTATAACTCACAAATTCAGTGGCACATAATGTTTCTACTCCTGATCTCTTTGGCAGCTTCTTAAATGAATAAAAACAAAACCACATCTCCTTCTAAGTATTCGTAAAGTCAGTTTTTGGTGGGTAAGGAGGCAAAGGGGAGAAAGAAAACTGTACTTTACACATTTCAATCCCACTATGTTTTCTTATTTAATGTGTTACTGTCTCAGGAGTCAAGAGCCCAAAATTCTTAATCCCTAATTATATCAAAGGATCAATTCCAAAAATAGGTCACAAAAGTATTATATTATTTAGCTGTATTCAACCAGAAGCCTATGAAGTTATTTTTAAGCTACAGTTAATGAACAATTAAAATTGGTCAACAGAGTCATGCAGTTTCTCACATAATATTTCCATTTACCTAAAAAATTCAATACTTTGAGCCATGACAGGGTCAAGACAAGCAAAAAGCTGCAAACACAACCTCCTGCCTTGCACAGCTTAATTCGTATTTTCCATATATCTGAGCAAAAAAAAAAAATTTAAAAAATCAGGATATACTGAAGAATCCAGCATCCATCATAACAGGTGTATGAAATAAAAAGTGCTTTCCTACCTTCACTATTACAGAATGCCAAATTATTCAGAAGACAATCACAAAATTAACCCAACACTAATACAAGTGCTTTGAAATACTTTATTACTGCTTATCTTCTGCCAATTAATTATCATCCTAGATAGCCGGAATCTGTTATCTTTAATCAGTAACTCAGAATCAAATACTCTCATATATCTGTGTTTTTTAATGTATGACCTAAATAGCACTTATTACTAAATCTCTATAATTACATCAAGAAGTGGTAAGAACTAGTATATCACAAAATGAAAACTAATTCCCAGAAATGCAAGCATTATCTCCTGGCATATGCATCATCAGTTGCCACCAACAACCTTGATACTGGTATATCATGTTGGTTTTACACTGTTCTTCTTGAAAGGGTGCTGTGCTCCCACTCTGACCTCTCTCATTTTAAAGGACTGAACTTCTGCAAGAATGAAAAACCAGTACAGAGGAACGTTTCTCAACAATCCTAGTTGTATTAACGGTGAAACAGCCCCCCAGATCAAAGATCAGATAATTGCTATGCAGATGTTTGCTAAACAGGCAGAAACAGCAGTGGGGAAATCAAATTTTTCACAAATCCAAAATCAACCACTTACAAAAATATGTTTATTAAAAAAATCCAACTGAACATTCATGTTCTTTCAATGTTTACATTCTACGACAGAAAGGAAAAAACTATTTTTTTATGTATTTACACATAATACCTCTAGCAGGAAATTAAACCACTTCTGTAAGGAAAATACATATCTCACTGAAGCAGTTGTATTTGGTCAACTGGGTCAATAATTTATAATTATGATAAAAGAAGGAATGCATAAAAAAGTGTAGGTAATGAATAAAAGGCTAGCATAGCATTTTAAAGACTTACTGCTATAGATGGACAACTTCACGATCAATTGATCCTTTAAAGCAGACTTCAAAATGAAGCTGCTTACAGATCAAAATCAGATCAGCAGTGCTAAGGGATTAGTAGGGTTGGAGAAGTAGAGTTATCTGATTTTCCTTTTGCAGGTGCTTACAGGGCTTTGGTTTTCCTGGGTCAGCAAATGAAGGATAGGTGAACTTGCTCCGAGTTCACAGGATTTAAAGGGATGGAAGTCACACAACAAAGATGAAAGGCAGCACACACCTTGCCAAAGAAATGACAACACTTTTCCAACCTTCCTTCAGCCACTCCAACTAGGCCTCTCTGCTGCCATCCCTCTCAAAAAATTAACAGTGATCCCCTTGAATAAATTAAGTGAAAGAACATTGAGAAAAATGAGAAGATTTTGCTGTTTACATAAGAATTATTTCTCAAATTAATTGTATTGCAAACTAAATGTTAATTAAAACTCATAGCATGACTTCAAATAGGAGTGTATTTGACATTTCAGTTATCCTGGTACCATAGACTAAAATCTTCACATGCAACAGTGCATTATTGTTTGTAGGCATGTATGCATATATTAAGACTTCTATGTTTTGGGAAAAAAACCCAAACAACGTATACAAACAACAGCTTGTATTTTACCTTTTTAAAGCAGATGTTACCTTCATCTTGAAATTTCATCTTTCTAAAGCAAACAAACATAATCTAACTTCATTACCTTGACAGATATTTAATTTATACAGCTACATGTATCAGTGAAAAGGAAATTGAAGTAGTGTAATAAAATGTCTAGAACCATGCCTTTTGACACCATGTCTAGAAAAAGGTCCTTTATGTAATTTTGGAAGCAGTAAAAAAGTGAAAACATGAAAGATTTCCATCATCTCCTACTAAACCTTTTGGTATAGCAATTGAGTTTGCATGTTTTGAAATTCACCTGTTCAAAAATAGTCATGTTCAACAGACAGCTACAGAAGAATAATTCAGAAAATCTAGTGATAATCTATATAATGTATTGGAAGGTGTTCATTCTAAATCTAAATAGATGACAAGGAAACAGTAGTTTGATTCAAACCACACTCTTTTACTGAGTTAAAGCTTTCAAGTGTTAACACTGAAGCTAAAGGTACAGCTTTTAGACTCTTGTGGTCTAAATATAGAGAACTGTTAAGTATCCTAGGAATACTAGGAGAGACAAAAGCAGCAAAAGATAAGAAAATAATTCCTGATACTTTTGTCCTGGTATTTCCATGACAAGGATTATGCAGCCTGGGTAAGACTGGAAGAACAAGTTTGCTTTTCAATACCATTGTTTTATGAAGGCAAAAATACTTCTAATTGAGATGTTTTCCTATTAGGAGTCACTGCTGTATATTCCTCAATAGCTGTTGAAAACTGAAATTAACTACTTGAAAAAAACTGCAGACATTTCTTTTTCTAGAATTATTATGAAACATAGATACTCTCCTACCCTTTCAGAAAAAATACATTTTTATATCACAAATAAAGGGCTGGAATCTCAGTATATCTGAGACAATACAAACTAACCTTCTGAGATTACTCTACAAAAGCTGAACAGTCCACACCGAAACCAATCCCAGGAACTGGAAATAAAAAATTTTAACTAGCAACATGGCCTACATTATGAAAAATCCCCCCCCCCAAATCCCAAACCAATAAAAAACCCTTACAACTGAATTTTGTGTGTGCGTACATCTGTTAATAAAATGCATATATAGACAAAAAGACAGGAAAACACCTCTCTCTGAAGACACTTTGTATACAGAGTCATATCTCTGAATTTAGAACTTAAGAATCTGGAAGATGCTACAACTTGGATAACAGCATACACTGCAGATAGCATTTTCATATTATTTATCTCAGCACCAGAAAGAGGGGCATATGTTTACATTGGAACCTTGGCCCAGTTCACAGTATCTGGAAACAAGTTTGCAAAGTTATTACAGATATAATTAACTTGAAGTACTGGCTGAACCCGAAGGTCACCAGAAGGGTGGCAAGCGCAGGGGAAGGGCAGAGAAGCGCCCCTTGAACTGATTCAGTTCATTACAAAGTGCTTACAGAGCTCATTGGAGACTCACTAGTACAAACAAGTGGTCCCATCAGACTGCTCAGAAGACTAGACAGCAGCTCCTTACTCCTACAATGATGAGAGGGTCCTGCCTAAAAAAAAAATGTTACATATACATTTTAAATAAACATGCTCAGTGTGTCCTTCCTGGGAAACATGTCCTAATTGCTAGTGGGGGCCCCAGCTAACAGCACAACTGGTCTGCCAAGAAGTTTTAACTAATTAGCTAACATTTAAGATTTCAGCTAAACCCAGATGGTTTAAAAAAAAATCCATACATGGTGGAGTTCAAATTAATTCCATTAATATCTTAACTGAATGATAATATCTTAACTGAATGATAATAGGGAACCAGAGACTAAAAAAGTATCACTGTATTCATGCAGCTGTGTAAACCCTCATTTGAAGAAACAATGAAAAAAATTAAAAACTGATGTTTTTGGAATAGGTACTTCAATTGCCTTTTCAAAAATAAAAAGTACCAATGCACTTTTAAAAGTACATCTTTGTAAAACATTCATATAACTGATAAGAATACATTTATAACTCTGGCCAAACAATTAGATTGTCAAGAGACACTTAACAAATAAAAAAAATAAAATTTTAACATTGCTATTTCCAATTTTTGTTAAAGTTGAAGTACACAAACTGTAAAACCTGATCATTCTCTGACCTTCTATTGCTTTAAATGTTTGGGAATATTTCTCAAAATATTTTCTAACTGTAAAATAGTTCCACTCTGATTTCCTAACAATGTTGTTATTATGTCAGACAAGGTAGAAATGTTACCTCAAGATTACATGTCATTTCCAAATGCAGTTTTACTTTGGTCTGGTTTTATCCATTTGGGTTTTTTTGGTATTTAACTGTCAGCAAAAAATAACACTTAAAGTCCCAGTAAGCAAAGGTGTACATACCTGTATGGACAACATACTGAAAGATAGGATTATAGCTTCTATGTGATTCTTGAATTATAAGGATACACTTCTCAAAACAAGATATTGAAGAAAAGATTGGTCTTTTTATTTTTCTTGAATGTCTTAAAATAATACAAACATGAAGCAAATCCAGT